TGTAAAAATGCCCCATGTGTATAAAGTAATAATAAAAAGTCACATGACTAGCTATTTTGAGAAAATAAATAATCTAATATTATTACTTTGACCCTAAAACTAGCTTTATTTAGCAATAACATGTATAAAATGTCTATTATAGGGTATACAAAGAAGATAAATTATTACAAATTATACTACATGTGTTATTGACACTGAAAATCTTCTTTAAATGTCTGTACCCTGTATACAGCTGTATTTGGCCCACTCCTATATGGGATACGGCCTGTTTTGTACAAGCCGTGTTTGTCACCTCAAAACCCAGTACGAGTACAGATCGTACCGTGAACGATACGGGTCGTAACTCAGTGACAGTAATATTCTTGTATTATGAAAGTCTTGTGCCTGAGATTACTTCCTAATTACTTCTTCACATGGCTATCAACGACGTGTGAGATTCTAACTCTGAGTGAGGGAATTTGTGTTCACAAAGGCTGGATTTTAACTTCATTAGCTCGGTACCACACTGTTGACGAATATGGTCCGTAGATTACAATGCTGAGTTTTTTGCATACATCGTCCATATAGCACGAGCTGTATACGGTATATATGGATACACGGAAACAGAATAGTAGTTGCCAATAGATAACTCTTTTGTTAAGTCCATCTCGTCGTTTGGAACGGAATTATAGGTTATTACATTTGCACTTGAGCCTCCACATTCATAACTTATACCTCAGATTTCGTCTGTGAATCTACCAATGATGGCGCGCTCTTTCCTCCCGCAAGTGCAGTGGAACCTTTCTCTCGTGAGTCGAAGGTGTGTACACCATCGCTGACTCGTGTCGTAGATATACCAGTAAACCGTATCGAGCTGGAGAATTGAGAGGCGACTTTCCGGGTCCATGCTCTTCCCATTGCAACTCTGAGAATAATGAATTGCGGAGAAAGGACCTGCAGTATTGCGGGGAATTCAGAAGGTTATACTTTGACAGGCCACCCAAGAGACTCACCACAGAGACTCCCCATATTTGCGTGAAGGCTAAGCTGATGTCCAGGTTCTTCCCAAACGTAACTGCAAATACAATTCCCAGAAGACTGACAGGCAAAGACGATTCAACCAAGATAGCCATTGCACCCGTGTATTCAGGCATGCGATCATTCGTATTTTGTGCCTTGTTCAGCTGGCGACGTGCAATCATTATACGAGTGCAGATAAGTGTGGTAGCTACGATGTTGAGTGCCACGGATAGCGCGACCCAAGGAACGCCGAAATTCACTGGATTTCCACGGAAAAAATTCGCCCCCGGTAGTGCACTCTCCACGAGTGTGATTAAGCCAAATACTATGCGAAAGTTGAGCTACGCCATGGAAAATCGTTCACGGGATGTAGACTGACTTATTGAGAAGAGATATATCAGGAAAGGGAAAATCGTGACTTTCCAGGTATTCCACACTATCCAGCAGCGATAGAGCTTCGTATAGTTCTGTGAATAGGCTTCAAACTTGATTTTTATCAGAGCATGCTCACCAAAAGACCGTCTCCCATCCACATTGATATTTGACCACTGAGCGTCCCTAACGTCTGGATCCAGATGGAACTATTTGCCACAAAGTAAGCTACGGGACCGCCAGGAAAGTCTCTGTGCTCAATCCACATCAGCTATGCAGTAAATACAACGTCAACAATCGAATCTATACTCAATGAAGCCGCAGAACATAGAACTCACTTGCCCATATACCGCATCCGCGGCAAAAGCAAACGTATATAAAAAGAGCATAATGCCACCAACAATGACATATATCCGACTGCTCTGGTAGAACTCATTCCTCCGTGAATTCAGCAGCAGATAAAGGGATTGAAAATACATATATATGTCCATGCCTGTCAATCGGAATTATGAATTATGAATATAAAAAGGTATCAACAAGTGAATCGCCACGAACCATAAAGCATAGCATGGAAGACGATGCCGATGTAGTATGATCGCTCAAAAACAATATCTGGCGAGTCCGACATGGTGCACCGCGCTAAGGACCTGGGGGCAAAGCGTGAAAATAATCGGGTCATTCGGCCTTATGAGAAGCTTGCGCATGCCGAACCGGCAAGTGTATTTCCGCCGTATCCTCGGAAAACAAGTTGTCATACTGAATAAAAATTTGAACGGACAATCGCTAAATACTAATAGAAAGGGAGGGGATTGATGGAATGATGCAGGCAACGTGGAGCAATACGAAGTACTGCGATAAAGATAAACGCAGAGAATTCACGCGGCAGTGTCACGTTTGAAATAAGTGGCTGGCGATTCCCACACCGCTCATTTTTTCCAAGAGCAACGGGTTGGAGTCCGCGCTCGTCTTATCTGAATCATGAAAATCGCGAGGGTATTCCAGGCAGGGGCACGAACTTGGTAGTGTCTCCTTGACATAGGCCTTTTTTGAATCGCTCTCCTGTCTCAGACTCGCCTGCATGAATCTGATTTTCGTGAGGGCAATCATCGCCGCCACATCTGACACTATTATAGCACTCCTCTTTATGACATGCGTTGAGCGGGCATAAGGGTGCTCCGTTTAGGCATTAGTCAGGGAAGCGCAATGTTCCGAAAGAAAGTTGGATTCATCATCACGTCCGCATGTATTCCAATGTATATATACAGAAGCAAAATCTCGGACTCATAAAAGCTGGTGGTATCCCTGAAGCCTGGTTAAATACTATTCACATGCTCGATCTCCGGTATCCGTCACTGAAATGAAATACAAACGTTAATTTAACGACACAAAACTGCAGAGATCTAGTTGACAAACCGATCTAATGACCTTGAAAGATGTCAAGGAACTGTCTAATGAAGACGGATGGTTCTGGGTCCTCTTTAAGCGCTAGGCGCGATACGTTTGTTAATTCATACAAGAAAGGAACATTGACAAAGTTTCTCTCACCATTCGGCGAATCGTCCCTGGGTATACTGGCGGAAAGGCTGCCTTCGACGAGGAGCATAACGATGACTGAGAAGGATAGTAGAGTAGTTGATTTGTACAGCTGCATCGTGGCTGGATGGGATATTCTGTTATTTCCAGGGTCGATCTGACGCGTATTTAAAGCCTTACGGGAGGTTCTTGCACAGCACGCTAATTATAAAATATCAGAAACGCAATACTAGTGTCATGATCTAAGCTTTCCAAAACATACACATCACAGCCCTCTGAGAGCCGCTCATGGAGAATCAACGTTACAGAGTGATACGCGCATCAAAAGAAGCGTCGCGACACATCGGAACATACCAACGCCCTGCAGCCTTATCCTCGTGCGTACATTGCTTGATTCATCTCGACTTCCTTGTATACTACTTCCCAATCACTGCATTCTGTCAAATCTGGATAGACGGCTGGATGTGGCCACCCCATTATGACGTCCAAATCCAAATCACCTCGGCACATCGCCATCTGCCTCAAGTAGTTTACGCAGTATTGTCCGAGGTCTGAAGCAGGTGATATATCTGGTTTTCCGCTATGGGCTACGCTCACGATTTCTCTTCGAACAATATCTAGGCATCGGAGTTGATGAAACATGGACACCATGAACGGCCTGCGCTGTTTGCCGAGGTATATGAGACCATCTCCGGGTACGGCAGCTTCCCATTCCGCATCGTCTTCCAAAGAGAAGTGGATACTATTTTCGCGGAAAGCCTTTACTCGTCCAAGAGGACCGATGGGTAATGTGCGCGGGAAGTCATCACCCGAAAAACCTAGTTCGACGATTTAGTTAGCAAAACGATAAATGGAACATTCTTTGTACGCACTGAAACTGGTGTTGCTTGAAGTACGTACATCCTCTGATGGAAGCAGAAGTTCTTGAATTCTCGAGACGCAAATTTTTTTCACTAGTAGGACAAAGCATAGCAAAAGAAGCAATCGAATCTAATTGAAGTAGCAATTAACGTCAGTGTGAATGTAAAGTACAAGAATCTGTGAGCTTTGGAGGACGCACATGAGAGTCCATTGTGACTCAGACGACAACGAGGTTGCAAAAGCAGTTATCAGATTCCATGCACACCGCCTTCCGGTTCTTCGCGTGTCAGTTTAGTTGCCCATCAAAAACTAAAGCGTGCGATCAAAAGATGTTCTGGACACGTTTCTCCTGTAATGGAAGTTTACTATTCTTAGTAGTGCTGGCGTGGTGCTTACTGCGAGAAGGAAAGGCTATCGGCTATCTTGACCGTAGCTTGTAACATTATGATGGATCCAAATCTCCTGCCATTTACGACATTTGCAGAGATGGCGATGTTTCACGAAGTACTTGTATATGACTCGCATGTCGTCTCAGTTCGGTCATGAACGGGCTGCAACAGAGGCTCGTAGCAGTTGCCTTCGTCTTTCTAGCTTTGGCATCCACATGGTACTCGTTTCATTTTGCCACTTTCGTCTGGACCATCGATGACGAGGCACTCCGACTATTATCGCGTGACGAAGAACTGCGGCATTACAGTGAGCTGTCCAGAATCACAATCGCGATGTCTTTACTCAGATTGATTGATGTTCTGCAGGTTTTGACGGAGAAGATGTTCCACTTGCTATGAAAACCGACGCAAAATCTGTCCGGATGATAGTCGAAGAGAGCGTCCGATACGACCAAGCGAGTCCAGAAGGCAGCCGCGAATGGAGATACACAGCGCATCCCCTCGGTTCCGGTGTCGTACATCTTGGACCGCGACATAGGTCCCTTTTTGTGAACATGTTTCACCAGCTGCATTGTATCGAGTATTTCGCCGAAAACCTTGTCAGGGCCCATGACGGGGAGCGGGAACATCTGCAGCATTGCCTCGACTTTATGAGGATAATGACCCTCTGCCGTCCTGATTTAACGCTAGAGCTTGAAGACTTTTCGAGGCGGAATTTCACTTCGGAACGTACAGGAGCAGAACATGTATGCAGGGACTGGACACCTGCGTACAATAAAGCTACAGAGAGCTACTTAGCATGGAGGAAGATCAGAGACGAGCAAACAAGCAGGGAAGGCAACGATTAGTGTTTCCAACGACGTATTTTCGATATCTGTCCCAGATTAAATAGATGTTGTCCCGAGCTGGTTCTTAGACCTGGCTAGATATACTATATAGTAATCTCTGTTCAAATATGGCAGAGTGGCACAGTTGTAGAGTCGAAAGTGAAGGATCGTCGTCGATGTCAATGACTCTGCCTTACATAATGAAGAGATAGAGTTTGATTTGAAACGGTGACCAAGTCGCCAGTGCATACTTTTGTCAGAGAAGTTGTCTGAACGATAGCCCATCATGCCTGCACTGCCCAGGACGTTGGAATCACTCTTTGCTCGTAACCATCGTCTCACACCCTCTCATCGCGCTCATGACCCTTCGCTCTCGTGAATATGCACCACTACCGCAAGCAGAAGGGCTTTCCCCACCGCATGAACCAGGTCGCGTCTTGTGGTTTTTGCTGGTCTGCATACATTACTGACAAATACTATTATGCCACAGATGTGGAACTGCCAGTGAAAGCGAGCAAATGGACACGCGTGACTCGATGTTCCATGATCGCCATCTTGTTGTGTACTTTGGTGGACCTTGTTGGAATTCTCTACCTATTGCGTCGAGTAGACTCGGCGAGTCGCAAAACGGTTTTCGATATTGATGAGCTCCCATTCAGAAGCACATATACGAAGCTTGATGAGCTATATCTTGTGAAACACCAGAAGAGCACTCCAAAGGGGCCCATTATCAACGTTCCTCGTGCACTGGGGCAAGTATCTTTGAAGGAGCCGGACAAAGTTTATTCTCTGTGGCATGGGAGACTGACGAGGGAATTGTACCATTCGGAACACGTCGTCTTGTTGTGTCTGAGGAGGTGCGCAGCATCATGTTTTATTGAAATTCGACTCTGACGTTTCTTCCGATCTAGTTCTCAACAATAACTCAATTCCATGTGATGGACTATGGCATGGAGAACTGTAGCGTAACTGTCACCATCCCGGAAAATTCGTATCTCAATTCGTCGGCTGAAGTATCAGCAAGAATAGATTCCAGAGCATCTGTCGAACTGGACGTTTGGTCTCTATCAGTGGGGCACAGGCTCAACTACAAGCATTTGTCATGGAACACGAAACCGCGTCGATCTGCTCATCTCGGTATCCTTAGGGCTTCGTACGGCTCAAGTTCACAGACTCCGCATTTCCCGTGTCGCTCGGGAACGTACGAAACGGTGGAGGTCTCATGCAAATCAGACAGTTGCGACCTCGTTGTGGAAGCAAATGGAAAGCTTGCGTTTGGTAGGCCATCATTTCTTGCTGATATCACAAGGCTGACTCACGTCTATTACAGGTTTGTATATGCAACAATACCAAACTATCTAGCATTTTGCAAGCCATATGTGCCCTCTGTCGAACATAGTATTTACCACTTGAAGCCGGCAATGAGACGCAGCGCGGTTTGGATCAAAGTTGTTACCATGTAATCCATTAGTTCCGCAGTTTACTAGTTAGTGTCCTACAGCCATCTTTGTCTAATAGAGTTCAGAAATATCGACTCACGCAGCATCTCCATTTGCCACCTTTCATCACGTTTTCAACAACGTAGTGATCCGACCTTTCTTCCATTTTCCAAATGACCGCTTACGGTTTATAGTAAGCCGGTTACGGGTCTGTGTAACATTTATATGTTCCGACAACCCCGGTGCTAGAAATATGCTTCGAAAGACAAGTACGTCCCTTTTAAGCTACAGTTTCTCACACAGCATGCCGGGTAAGTACCAACACTCATAGCATCTGTGCTCGTAATTACAGGACTATTATCACTGCCCCGTCACCCTCCATTTCTGCGCTCTAGCATGGTTCCGACTGTCAGACTAATTGAGCACCCTACAGGTATGCACACAACCCGTAAACGAATAATGCATCCATTGAGCTTCAAGTAAGATGCTCAAATCGAAGAGGCGGTCTCAGTATGCCTCCGAGCTTTTGACGGAGGTTCGCACTTTTGTTTTGTTTCTACGTTGAAACATCATCTAATCTGCTTACAAATAATTGGAAGAAATCGCCCTCGAAGCTATGGTCGGAGGAGACGACAGCTTGAAAGCACCCTTATATCGCTGCATGCTCCGTGCCGCAGCGTTAGAGGGTATGTTCTACGTTGCTGGAGATGGGTCAGATGCAATCCATACTGTCGCAATTTGGTTTGCGCCTGGAGTGAAGTTCCTCGGCAGGTGCACTCACAGACACTGTCCTTATCTGATAAACACTAAAGCGTCTAGCTGTGCAAATTCAGCGCAGAACAGAGAGAGGCAGGTTTCAATGAACTTTTCGCCAGTCTACCCCAGGCGGCCAAAGACTGGTGGATGAATGATGTGGGAAGCATTGATATGAATGATTTAGGAGATAAATCCTGATCATATGTCAAATCAGTACAGGAAGACAACAGAAGATTATCTTAACAGCGTAATTGGTCAAGAGGTTAGTATGTTGCATCACAGAAGGAACAAAACCTATCTGACTTTTAATATCAGAAAATCCTGAACTCCTGGTACTGCAATACTGTGGCTACCGATCCTGTTCATCAAAGGAAAGGATATGGTTCTGCGTTGGTCAACGCAGTTCAGAAACGAGCAAGTGTCATTCCAACTTCACAAGTCTTCACGTCTCTTCTGACCTTTTGATTCCCTACAGGCTAAGGAGTCTCATGACATGATGGTACTCGGTACGACGAACGAGAAGAATGTGAGTTGAGTTCAATTTCGTCGAGCGACACCAACTCATCTTGAATGCTGTCATTCTGTGTTCAGATCGCGTGGTATGAAAGCCTGGGATTCAAATCAATCGGGAAAGTGAACATGTCTGCTCCAACGGGAGATTTTTCCGCGACATACCTTACATGCAATGCATAGATCGTTTGAAAACGTGTTTGACTAATAGGTTCATGATAATTTGAGACTTCAACAGAAATTTCCGATAAAACTTAAAGGCAAAGTTACGAACTTGGTTCTTGTTGTATGCAGAATGCACAGGTTGCAGTATTTCGGTATTATTTTGACACTGATATTTGATACAAGAGCCGATGAAATGAATGCACATGTGTGCTGTCTAATACGAGCTTCGCATGTCTGTAGGAAACGAGGAACATCGTGTAAACCGTGCCGGTACTTACTTCGAGGAAAACGAATGCGCCAGCAGGACGATCCTTGACGTCAATTACTACACCAGCGGAATCGTTATTCAAGATAATATTTATCACTTCATCTTTCCCTGCCAGAACATATCGCATTCATCATCCAGTGACTGTCGAAGCTACTCTCCAGACCGCCTCAATAAATTAGCCTTCCTCAACTTTGACGAGCATTTCAATTCCCAACATTTTCTTGACGAAGAAATGTCTGAGGCTCTTTGTCAGGAACTCCTCCGAGCCTGCTAATGTGTAAGAGATTTTTTTCTGCACGAAAACCGAACAATAAAATGCATTTGATCGTGGATCTTTGAATAACATAACGAATCCTATGGCTCGTTGAATGACGAATTCCTCGCACAAATTATGTATGCAGTCGCGTCACTTGTGAGGAGACTAATCTGCATTTCTGACATCGTTAAGCAGGTGCGGACCTTTATCGGCAACCAGACTTCGGTCTCGGAATATGAGGTGAGGTGTAATTACATGTAAAGAGTATTTTCATTGCATAACCATTTTGCACGTGACTTTGTCACATGACCGAGTCCACGTAAAAAAAAACCCTGATCATTCTACCATACCATACCGATAAACCAGCATCACTTTCTCGAAACACTTGTATAACAGGAGTACAACATCGATGATACTTAGCGGTTGCTTGCGATTCGAGTTGCGACGCATAATTATAGCGTCAGCAATGATTCAGCATCGTGGGCGACTACAGACTGTCCGGACCTTATTGTCGGAAAAATCTTCACCAACTGGAATTTGATCCGTCTATACCTGCAGTTTACATGGTCGTAGAAGAGTTGAGAAAACCAAAGCCCTGGTCTGATGAACTTCTAGTGAAGCTTATACCATAGCGTAAGTAATAAAACTGATATTTGCTTGACGAGACTGGTAACTGATAAGTAGACCTTTGTGATGCCAGATGAAGAACCCGATATGAGAAAGTATGTGCCCGCGTTTTGTGTATACGGCAAGCAGTCCAGATCATATGTTGCCGAAATGGCCCAGGCAGGAAGCATTTCACTCTTATAGAGTACTTCGAGGCAACTGAAATGGAGCGCGAGTGTGGGCTCAGATGATGCTATACAAGTTGTGGCCGACGAACAGCAATTTTTTTTTCATATACGCAGTATCTCAACTTACATCTCAAAGCAAGCGAACTGGTGTTCTTAAAACCGTCAAAGGTTGCCCAGGCGGGGCGGAAGCGAGCTGTCGAATGGTATTCCGTCCTCCGCGCAGGTCTCATTATAATCGAGGAGGCGGTCCCCCTAAGACAAACATGGCAATGACATCTCGCTATGCTGAGACAACGGCGCCTCCATGTAGATAAGCGACTTCTAGCGCTCTTTGACGTCTCAGCTCATACAGGAATTCGTATTCTGTTCACGTTCTCTGGCTCCCATTAGTACTGCTAAACGACTACATGATGCTAGAGTTATCTGGCATTGAGTGAAAACGTCACAATGTTACCTCTTAACAGGCCCTTGCGGAACTTTCTTCACTAACACAAGAAAAGCATCAAATCAGTGCACCTTTAACGCCCCGCAGTGCGGAGGCCTTCGAGAAACTCGCCTAGTTAAAACAAGCGCGAAGGTCACCAAGGCGCCGCGTTTGCAAGGACGATGCAAACCTTCACACCCGATAACGCCGATGATGGAAATGCTACCAGAGGTATGCTTATAACAACTGTTGTTGACTCAAGGTGTCTGTTATATATCCTTGGGACAAGAGATATTTACGTATGTGGTTGTGTATGCCACTTTAGAGCCTAGAATTTGTGCCGCGAGCTGACCTTATTCTTTTTGTAGTGTAGAGATACCAAGTGGATTTCGTTCGCGTCTCATGTCGAATACTTCTGTGAACGCTAGAATCTGTCTTAGCAGATCGACTGTGACCCTACTGAGCCGAGTTGTTTGCTCTTCACCTCATGTGAGCGTCATCTCATACGAGGGGCATTCGAATACTAATCTCTGAGCTTTCATGCACCTGACAATCGAAGTAATTTCCTAGTAGACTAAAAAATTTTAATATCATGGACCGGCAAACAAAGAAGTCAACAATTTTCACAGTGTAGTACTCCGGTCAGAATGTCGGTAGGTGCACCAAGAGCATCGTCGTAGCAATTGCTAACTTAATGTTCCATGTAGTACATCTCGTTTGACACTTCGCCAACTTACTCGCTGTTAAGAAGCAAACTTCTCTGTATGAACTCATGAATGACTCAGAGTGTCCGTGTTGGTTGAACAGCGATATGGTCAGAAGATCGATTAAATAATATCGTATTTCTTGTCCTTCCTGGTGAGATTTCTTCAGAGGATTTACGAATTGGAAGCCGTTGATTTCATGTACATAGCAACATGTAGACTAGTGATTGGCTGGCAAATGCTGATGATTCTGGATGCGACTTCTTTTACATATTCCAATCAAATAATCATATCGCCGCTACACTCAATTTTAAAATTCCAAACCATGCGATATGGCTGTTCACTCAGCATGGGATTGCGATTGGGTCGGGCAAATGTTGACACTACCATAGTTTCAAATTACACGGCACGCATCACCATGCACATTTCCGATCATATGGGTCACTGAGGTTGCGACTATATTGGTATATCGCTTTTTAGAGAACATGGATGCGGCTTCGTGGCGTCAGCACGGAGTAACTACATGCTTAGTTGCTCACGCGTTACCTTGTCAGGTTTCAAATAGATGCGACAAAGCGAGTTCGGTTTATGTCTCCTGCAATCATGGAAGCCTCACAAACACTTTTCGCAAAGACGTCCGAAATAGCACTTCACCTGTGAGCTGCACATCCCGTTTTATTGGCCCTGCAATTAATGGACCTGATCCGCTCTAGGCAGGCAGAGAAATATTACGCTCTGGCGTCTTATGGTTTGTCCAGCTACTTGACATATACCTACACCACGTTAAAAATCATTCAGTCATTTTGATCTACGATACCTTTCTCACACTGTCTACAGAAATTGAGAAGATCTGGAGACGAAGATTTACCGGAATTACTATATTATGGTTTCTTGTACGTGAATACTTGTATTAGAATCTGCCTCATTTTACTGGGGAGTTTTCTATCTCAAGAATCGCTGGTTCTATTTGCTTGAGTTCACCGTAGTTTTCGTTGGTAGGTATAATTTCTACCTTTCTGGAATGCTACTAATATTTCCTTCGAATTAGCTTATCTTGGCGTTGGCTGGAGCAACCAAGTAAGCACAACAGTTTAATCATTTGCGTGCAAGTACCTTATTTCTTCCCCAGTCGTCAGGACTATACAAATGAACGCTAGCATGAACTAACTAGTTCTTCAGGTGTATTGAATACATCCGATTTCCGGGTTATGTTCTCGCCTTCCAAAGGATTGTGGCAGTCAGTGAGTGCTACAGCATTCCCTTCTTCGAGAAAATCTTACGCACAGTATATCTCAGCAATATTCATACTTCGTATGTATTGTCTGTACCAGCGCGACCTTCGAGCACCTTGCATAATAGCGTTCTTTCTTGCAATCGAATTCTCAGTCAAGATTGTGAGTCCTTTGACTACGTGATCTGTCATGCGATGAACGGTTATGCATTACAGGCGGCGCTGTGCATATGGGCGGAAGAGGTAATTTTACCTCTCGTTCTCTCGGGGTGTATATTAGCTGTATCATCCGAGAAGTAAGTACCTTCGCGACACAGAGAAAAGGCTAATCTATCTCGTTCAGTGCAAGTAAATATATTTGGATATGGGTGACAGAGGTCTTCACAGGTGGGGTAATTAAATGTTTCGTTGAACCACCGTCTTATAAGTAACAATAGACTTATCTGTGCTCTGTCTGACTTTGTATCGATCCCACGTCGTATATGGCTTTGTCGGTACTTGGATGCATGCTCCTTTATGGACAACAATTGTGAAAGACGGCATGTTCTTCTCGAAGCCTCTAAATTAGTTTATTAAATGAAACGACAGGAACTCTCTACTTTGCCATCATGCTTGTCGTAAATATGACGACTGTGATCTTGCATTTGGTATGCGTCTGTCCATTTTTCCAAGTCTGTATAACGAAATCTAACTTTCAAAGACCATGCCAGTATGTATCTTACCTGTACTAGTTTGCTTCGTTGACAAAGCATTCAAACTGTCGTGCTCCAGCAAGATCTCAAGGCAATAAATGCAAATTTCGGCACAATGTAGGATTTTCTTATATAAGTATCCAGACAGGCGGACGGTTTTCTTAATCCCTCTACATTTCATAGTGCGATCAGCCTTCTGGTCTCCAGGCTCATCCTGAACCTCAAGGTCACAGCGTGCAGGACTCATGGTCGTAGTTATGATCAGGGTTCCACTTACTCGTCTCGCCGTATCGCACTTGAAGAAACGATACTTGGAAACATTGGAAAAGATTTGGAAGGTGCTAGCGCAGCGTCTGGGTCGGACGTTACTTTGGAAGGTCAAGAGCTGCACAATACTACGCGAAACTGAGGCAGCTTGTCTTTTCAATTGAAGTTTCAATAGCTGGTCTCCCTCTTCAACGCTGGCGTGGTCGGAGGTCTAGAACTTCTTAAAAGCAAGGATAAATTGTGGGAACATATTACCAAATAAGTCAACGTTAAATCTTTTCTTGGCGACGTGTCAATATGTCATGCACCCTTTTCCTGCCATCAGATAGGCCTCCTGCATTTACTAACACCAACGTCTGAAATTTCTGCAGATGCCTCTGATTATCGCGTATGGAAAAGCTGGGATACATTTCTCGTCACGCACAGCTGTCGTTTCCGCATACTTCAGACGCGTTCGACTCAAACACAAAATAAGAACATATATAAACGCGGCCTGAGTGGATCGAGACCGAAAAAGTTCAACGTGCCGATCACAGCATTCGCTGCCTTGGTCGGATACTATTGCTCGATATCTTCCTTATAACGTCCGTACCCGCCTTCGATTCTAGCATTTCCCAAAAAAATGCATTCGACCGAACTCTGGGTCTTGTGACCAAACCGAATTACGATTTCGAGCGAAATCCATGATAATGTGATAGAAGCAACGCTAAATTGCAAACGGCTTCTTTGATGTTGGGAGTTCAAATAATTTGATTAGCGAAAACTTCTCCCAAGTCTTTGCGCCTGGCATCATTGTTCTACGGATATCTGTATCATGCGGGAACTCCGTTTGAATTGGTTTGCACTTTCCGCGGTCGAATGGACTCTGCAATGTGACGCTTCGACACAGGCGGAAGCAGACTAAGACGACATAGTTATCAAATCCAATGCTCGCATCAGCTGTGTATCACACTAACTGTAGGTTCCATCAAGGACTGGTTGTCCTTGAAGAATCAAATGATCCACTCCGAAAATACTTACTTTGATGCCGATGCTATTACCAAAGCTCCGCGCCGGGAGTCTGTAAGTTTCATGCTTTCATAAATGCCCCGTTTATTAAAACTCAGCGTTTCGGTTCGTGCCCACGTCGCGTCATGTCTGCGGTACCTCCATCTGAAGTCGCTCAACTCATAGAAGGTGCAACTCATCTGTACGTGAAATCGGATACTCTAATTATCGCAATTCTGTTAAAGACTAGTATAGTATCGCCGCTAAATACTATGCGGTTGCAGCATATGGTACGTTTCACTCTGGTAATACATTACGCGCATGCTGAAAGACTACACAGTGATGTTGGTTTACGATATCGCATTAACTTTCACAACAGAAGTTGAGAAGATCTGGAAGCAAAAGTTTACCGGACTCACTGTTCTTTGGTTCTTGGTATGCAGTTTCGCCGAGCACACCGGAGATAGCTGACTCACCAGACTTCGCCAGAATCGCTGGCTCTTTTTGCTCGAGGTCACCGTGGTCTACGTTGGTGAGTAATTCAGAACCCACTATCTGACCGGAACTGATAGTTGGCGTACAGCCTACCTCGATCCTGGATGGGGTTTTGGAGTAAGGCGGACTGTCCCTGTTTGAGTGTCACCATTTACTCATTCTACCGTTCTTTTATAGCCGTTAGTAAAGTATCACACTACGACGGGTCTAACATATTAATAATGAAGAAACAGATGCTCAAGGTACATACGATTTCCGGGATTCGTTTTGGCGTTTCAGAGGCTAGTGGCAGGAAGTAAGAACTGTGAAATATACACCATTCGCTCGAAGCTAAACTACTATTTTCTGAAGCTATCTTTATGCTTCGAATGTATTGCCTTTACCAGCGTGATTGGAGAGCTCCTTCTATCATTGCTTTCTTCCTTGTAGCTGAATTCATAACGAAGACGGTAATAAATGCTCAACATCCTAGCCTCTGATATGTGTCTGACGAGGAGCACTTACGTAGATCGCTCTTGTCAAATGGGCAGAAGCAGTGGTCTTACCTCCTGGGCTTCCGGGGTGTATCCTAGCCGTTGCACCAGAAAAGTAAAACCTAGTATCCTGCAGCATAGTACTTTCCTGACGTGTTCGCCTTCCACAGCGCGAACAAATACATTTGGGGGTGGATATTGGAGATCTTCACAGGTGACTGGTCTGCTTGTGGTCATTATCGACGACATTCATTAGCCAGTGTAGATTTGTCCGTGCTCTGTTTGACTTTATACAGGTCTCATGTCATGGTGCGACACGTCGGAGCTTTGGCGAAAACGCCTCTATGGACGACAATCCTCAAAGACGGTAGGTAATTTTTTTCTACAATACGTTAGATATTTGAAGGAGGAAGCTAGGCACGCTTTATTTCCTGGTTATGCTCGTCGCAAACTTGATCACTGTGATCATGTATCTGGTCTGTGGTCACTCATATATTATGATAGAAATACTAATCGATGCTCCATAGACGGTATCAGTATGTTCCTTTACTCTTTACTATGGACATACTTGCGAACGTCTGTTGTTTAACAGCAAGACCTCAAAGCGATAAATGCAAATTTTGGAGCTCTGTAAGTGTCATTTAACGATATGCGCTTGAAGGAATATAATGATAGTCCTTGCTGCTGCCAGATCTATCAGCGTTCTCGTCTCAAGACTTATACTCAATCTCAAAGTCGCAGCGAACCGGTATCCTACTAGTGGTCATGATACGAGCCAGCTCTCGGCCTCCATATGGAGCCCCAATCCAGTGGAGAAAACAATATTTGGAAATATTGGCAATGAGATGGAAGGGTTTTCAACGAACAATACATCCAATGGGTCGACTATAGACTCTGGGCTCGGAGGGTCCAAAGATTTGCACGAGCTCCGCGCATTGCGGTGCAAGTGAAGATCAAATTTGTCCAAGTACGTGTGTTTCCGGCACCTGATGATACATGCAATCAATAAATTCATATTCCCGTCAGAGATTGTCTTCTTTTCCTTAACTCCCTTGTGTATCGATATTGATGTATTCCACATGGACCGATGTACTTATTCTATTGTCACCGAGACCGGTATCTCCGGTGTCTCTGGGACACGCTTAACCGTACTGCTGTGTCACACATAACTATGCATCGCGCCGCGCGGTGTAAGAAGCTCTGATTTCGAAAAGCTGCTTTCCCCGGGTGTATGGAAGTTACAAAAGCATGCGACTCTCATCAGACCCTTTCGTCTCGGATCCTGATTCGAGACTTTACCGCATTAGATGGCTTTTGTCCCAGTAATTGATCCGCTGCAAGATTACAAGGTATTATTTCTAATGGCCGAAACGGGCATTGACGGATTTCGAACAGCACGATGACATGGAACACGATTCTTGCTTGATATCCGTAATTGAAAGTGAACTCGGCTTGAGAATGTATGTTGATTTGAGAAGCCGCAAGCATATGTTTGCATTTGGACGAGTTATGCGATGATGCGTCTGTCTATTTGCTTAAATCACCGTACCTGGCTCTTAAATCTTACTTACATCAAAAAATGATGCACATCATCGAAATGTTCACACTCTACATCAGATGTCAGAAGTCTGTGCGGGGTGTATTCCCCTAATACAGTATCATCGATAATGTATTCCTCTATAAACGGGCACTGGGAAACCCCGGGCGCATCCTCGTCATCATCGTACTCACCATGAGCTCGGACTTGAGATCTTTGCGGGACATTATCTCGTCTTCCGTGGACAACATACTCAATGCCTGTGAAAGCGCTGGAAAGATCTTTCCTTCGCTCGACGAGCCTGTCCAGCTGTCAGAGTTCACTCCGGAGGGCATTCGCAATCAGCCCGCTGTCGCGCAATCTATAGCGCTGATTTGTGCTGCAGCAACTCAACTTATCGCGACGGTTCGGCCACCACCTGCCACGCTGACTGTATCGGCCTTTGGAGTACATCTCATCAATATCTTTATCATTGGCCAGCTATGCATACTCACCAATGTACTTTAGTATACTCTCCCTGCAGCACTTGGTGTAGCAGAAGCGGGTAATGTTCCGGAGATCCTTAGGGAAGCCGGGCCGAAGGTTCGTTCATTCGTCCACTCGACAAATTTGCTCGCACTCACATGTAGCCCATTGACAGGGGATGCATGTCAAAGAAATAGCCGAGAAAGCTGGAATGGACCACCACAAACTATGTGAGGTTCACGTCCTTGCAACCGGCGCCTATCCGTTCAACCGTATTTCCAGCGCGTGTTCTCAGATACCTCGCTACCAATCATTGGTTCCGCGAAGTCAGCCCAGAAGTGTTCGCAAATAACATGCTGTCGTCGCTGCTAGACACCGGAAAGGAAATCACAAAGAACTTGTAAGAAATGAGTTCAGCGGACTATACAATGAGAATCTGACATAGCTACCACAGCGCGTTAACGAAACACGATAACTCGCCCGGAATGGCGGCATTGGCTGGCTACGGGTACGTGTATCCAGGGAAGATACTTGCATTCATTGCGCTGATAATTGCGTGGCAGAGGCGATGAGGCGATAAAGGCGGCTTCGTATCTTCGAGAAGCCCTGACGGATGAGAAAACGAAGTTTTCACAAGAGGCTAAACACAGTGCTGTTCAGAAGGCACTTGGAATTGATGAGACACTCTGGGAATTCTACGACCGCCCCGAAAACGAACTCCGGCGTAAGAGATTCGCTATAGTGATGGCTGGCTCAAATAGGTTACAACCTCCAGAATCAATCCTATACGGTACTTCTGTCCTGCTTTGCGCGGTTACAAAAATATAACCTGATTGCTTATGGCATCGTACAGGTTTTGATTGGGGAAGTCTTCCTAAGGGAGGGATTGTCGTGGATGTGGGAGGAGGACTGGGCCAAGTCTCGCTTGAAGTCTCAAAGGCTCATCCAGACTTACGGGTAGTCCTGGAAGACCGCCCGTTAATCATCGAACAGGCGAAGCAGGTACCGTAACAGACACGCGCTTCCTAATCTTTTGTATTGACTACGTACTATCAGTTCTGGCAAGAGAATCTTCCAAGATCAGTCACGGGTTGCAAAGTCCAGTTCATCGGTTAGTATGCTAGCATTTCCATTGAAGCTAAATCCTCTTACCACCCAACCTCCAGGAACGGACTTCTTTGAAGCCCAGCCCAAGCTTCCGGGAACTCCGGATGTCTTCCTTCTGAGGATGATCACGCACGACTGGGCAGACCTTTACGCGATCAAGATCTTGCGCCGTCTGCGGGATGCAGCAGGACCAAACACGAAGCTCATCCTAATCGATTGCGTACTAGACTATGCGTGCGGTTCAGGCGAAAACAAGCCTCCTCCACCACTTCTCGGAAATCTTGGTGGCGGAAACCTTCTCTCGTATAGCGTGGACTTGACGGTGAGTGTCAAATCTGAGGTGAAAGATTGCGAGTCTGATTCGTCTATACTAGGTCTTCGGCATGCTCAATGCAGGGGAACGCACAGCACTTGGTTTTGAAGAGATACTTTCGGCCTCCGGTTGGCAACTCCAGGAGATCCGCAAGAGCCCTGTCAGCCCAATGTGGTGGCCGAGCATCATTTCCGTTCCAAAGTGAAGTAAAGGTTCCCGTATTTACGGAAGAAACTCACGAGCCCAAGGACTATTCCCAATGTAACAAAACGAAGTATCGATATTGCACAATATGATGTACGTTGATTACGGCTGAAACTTGAAATATTTTCGAAGATGACCATCTATGAGACATAACGCCGTAAGGTAATTGCAATGAGGCTCACTATGAACGCTATTAGGTGAGACAAAAGGTCGAAGGATTTCCTTATCGCACGCAAGGATGAATTAAAACAGAACTGCAGTTTGAAGCTGTTTCAACCTATTCGAAAAATTCGCCTGCCTCGTTCGGCTTAGCTAAGGTGAAACGCAGGCTTAGTCCGACGGCCACCATCATCTTTCGCTCTCGGCAGAAAATGGGTGGGAAAAAGTCCCTCGCAGTGCTATTCGCAAACGCAGACACGAATGCGGAGTTTGCCACATCGGTCAAAACATGGATTACATAAGCTCATTACAAATACAGCCAGAAGAGCGAAGTAAACGCGTAACAATGTTCCTCTGGCTACATGCAGGTCTCTCTTCACCATAAGTACACATATAGGAATGTCTATTTTCACAGAAATTATAAACTGTCTCAAAAAAGCAGACAACGGGTTAATGAATCTTCTGCTTTTTAAACGACTTGCAAATTGTTATGACTCATAATGAAGTTTTGACACATCGAAGACCACTGGACGCCCTCATAACACAAGACCAAGTACAACGGACTTTTTCTAAACTCTTGTAGGGGACTCAAGTGTGGCACCATTGACATGCCGGATGATTGCAATACACTCTCCTACCGTCAGCCTTCAGGATCATTCTTGCATGACTAGCAGTGCTGTAAATTTGTACCATAAATTGTTCCGACAGCCCTCATATTTTCTGCTAAGCTCAGAATTGAACTTCAATATGCATTTTCTGCTTAGAAAGGGCGAGTAAATAATCAAATAAATGAATAGAGAATGTTAATAAGAAAGTAGTGTTTGTACCATTAGTTTATTTGCACTCCTCGGAGAGCCTTTCATGTTTCTGTTTATCTGTTTGCCGACTGTACCACTATTGAGAATTTTCCCGTATGAATCACTCCTGGATGGATTTGTCCTATTGATGATATAGTCTATTAATTTGTAATAGTGCTGTTTCGGCCTGATGTCTATAAAATCTGATTCCTTTGATTGTAGTGTCAAAGTGAATATATTTTCTTGCTAATTTCATGTTGAATGCGGTAGCATTAAATGCACGCAAAGCGTGAAGAGAAATACTAACTCTTTATTTTTCAATTATCGCAGCCAAACGAACAAGTACAGAGTCTGAGTCAAACAACATGAAGTACATAGCTTAATTAAAGTCCACGAGCCGCAATATGAAACAAAGGGTTGATAAAAGATGGTATGGTTTGCTGCAAGGTACGGAGTAGATTCATACAGGATGTTCCTTGTAATCCTTACTCGCTTCATACGTATGCACTGGCAGCTCGTCACTGCGCCTAAGTGATCCAGCGGTTTTGGTGATTGAGAATACTGTATCGTTTGCCGAACCCTTTGAAAATAAGGTTAGGTCTAGGTCATTCACGCCAATGTGTTGAGTTGACGAACACTTTCAAATTGGGTTGTCTCAATGTCCGTGTGAATATGAATTGGACCCAGAGTACCAACTCTGCCGAGCTCAAATTCATCTCGTTGGATCTGTGTAAGAAGAGGCCAATGAATCCCCAGTCTCAAGATGAAAGATTATGCAGTACTACTTACTCTTCTCGATCTCCCACTTCGTTCGTCATTGTCCGAAACAATCATGTCAGGACGCGAAACGCGGATCGAGCGACGGGCATTGAGTGTCCACATCATTGATATCGCATATAGTTTCTAGCGGAGTAGATTAATGAATATTTTACTTTCATATTGGCCTTCTGTGGCGGATCTAGTAACTTACAGGAAGTGCCATCGTGAATCCAGAAGAGACAAGTTTATCTTCCCCGCTATATACTTGCGAAAATACGAGGTTAAGAAACGCACTACAAAAGAGTTAGAGCAAGTACATTAACGAACTTTGTAATACCTCGCATATTTACAAGTATAAAACGTACCATAAAGAGGCGGGCAAGATGGTTTGCCAGGTGAGTCTCACAAGTCGGTCGATTATATCATTTGTTCTTCAATGTAAGAATTAGATCCAAACCCATATATTGTATGTAAGATAAAATGCAGGAATCTACATACTGCTTTAGACCGTGCTTGCTTTTGGAAGTGAGGAGTGCATATGCAGTTGTTCCAGCGAGAAGCGTGTCGCCCACTGTAGATATTTGTGATTAATTAAAAGGTACATTTGGAAATGTAATGATCTCAAGCGCACCAAATACAGAACTTAGCTGACAGGCATCTATAAAGGACAGATTGGGATATTAGTGGCTAGATTAGAAAATTATAAATGGACATACACCAAACTCCAAGCAATCTATTGTCAAAATGTAAAGTGAAGTATACCTGCAGGACGTGCATCCAAGTATAATAATATGTCAATATGTGTTAAGTTTATATCATAGGAGAAATAGACACGCACTGTCAAAATGCTTGCAACATATGCAAACAGCAGTATTACAGCGATCAGAATGACAAGATACATCTTTTGGGTGATTGCATGAAGCCGATAACAGAAATAAGATTGTACATAGATGCCTATAGTAGCAACCTAAAAATTTCATACCAGAGATTCCAGTGAGGCCTCGAAGTCAGTATCACGATTTGACGAGATTATGGAAAGAAGAGAGGAAGGACATACCATAAGTCCATTTCCGACCAGCCACCATTTATGATAGGATAATGCAATGGCCCCAGTAAGATCTGCAAAATGGACCACCTGCGCTGCCCAGACGATTACACTGGATGGAGTGGTATCAGCTTCCGCAGATCTGGCAAAGTATGGTTTCAAATAAATGGCTGACAAGGATTGTATTGTCTTGAGCGTTGTCATTACAAATAAAATGGCAACGCTGAGACGCAGAAACTTCTTGTCGTCCCTGTACCATGAAAAGTAATTTGCAAACTATATTAAAGTCATTATGACATATAATGTGGAGCATAAAGTATATTTAAACCTGAACAAAGAGGACGCCCTGAAACAAGAAGTCCGCAAATGCTCCAATGACCTATTAAATTGGACATGAGTAACCTTGTTCAGTGTGAGGCTTTAGCATGAAAACCTACGTAAGGGCCTAGCAAGAAGTATACTTGCTCTCGCTCTTTATCAGTCAGTGCCACTGACATAGCGTTTTCAGAGACGTATTACAACAAAGATGGGTAACGCGGATGCGTGGTAGAGATCTGTAGTACGAGAGACGAGAGGCGAGTGAAGAGGCGTTCAGACCCATCTGTTATACCGTTATGAATGATGGCTTGATGCTTGGAATGATATGAACTCTGTAGCAACGGAGTGAGTTTATCAAAGCCTTGACTTGCAAAATTCAATCACTTGGCGTGTTTGAGTTTGGATTATATTTGCTTTGTATTTGGCGCCGAGACGTCAAGATGGCATCTTCATCCTTCGATTCACAGTTTACAAAGCTCCTGCCGCACAACAGCGACGTCGTAACCTATCATTGACAAGCGTGCTGATCATCAGCTCTGGACGTATATAAATCAAGGAAGACGGAAAATCGACTGGGAGATGATGGAGAGCTAGAATGATTAGGCCTCTCACCTCGAAGCAACCTTGCTGTGGCTACCTTCACAGTTCACATTGTGTGCGACGTGAGAACGAGGCACAAAGATAAAATCGAAACCTCGGAATGTGGCGCGAGAAGAAGTGATGTGTACTCCAACGTGCGTCGGGGACGCGATACCGATTGTAGTAAGAAGTATTTTACAATAAGCAGAGAATGGTTGAACGTGGAGTATGATTAATAGCAACCAATATGGTAGAGTCATTCTATTTTTTCAAGTCTTCAGTCCTGGCCATTGCTAGCATTTTCTTCAGTGTGTTCTCTGTGAGTGGCTTATAATTAAGCCGAGCCACAGAATTCTTGGTTTTAAATCCACTGCATAACATGTATTCGCCGTAATTAGTATTAGTCAATGGTAGCCGAACAAGAACATCATGATTTATCACTGGTCGATGATCGATGGCATACTTCCTGCGCGAATCGTCGGATTCAGATCTTCTGGCGTCTACATCTCTTCGTAGTCTACCTCCTTACAACAAAATAAATTAAAGTAAATGAATGTGTTCTATTAACGCTCGCTTTAATAGATCCATGCGTGTCGCGACTACACATGAATACAAAAAATAGTACTTCTCCATATCACGATCATTATGATGTACGTAGTCGTGCTGTCCGGTCACTACTTTGATGTCCTGTTGACAGCGACAGCTTATTGTTTCCGTGCTTCTGTTCTGTGCAGCTATCTCGGAAACCTTCAGGCTCGAACCTACGCCACTAGTATCCGAGTGGTTCCTTATTTCTGTTTCCTCTGGACTCTCGCCTCAATCTTCGTTCGTGATGTCATCAAATCCCTGATGAATTTGTAATATTTCTTCCTACAGTACGTGCAGGCCCGCCGCCGCCGCGCGGAGTCCCACAATCAGGGCAATAATAGGCGCGAACGATCATGCTGCTCCGTCGCACTCGGCCTGGCTGAGCGCAGGATACTTGAAGAGTGACAAGCTTGTCCTCTGCCCTGGCTGTCACTTTGTCCACTTGCCAATGTTCATTCTCCAGACCTTGCTGTTGTTCGCAGGGTCAGCCTCTGCGACGGTCATCACAGCGGACCGTTCAGTTGCAGTTAATAAGACTTTTGACTATGTGGTTGTCGGTGGAGGACTTGCAGGGCTCAACGTTGGGAATAAGGTCTGTTTCGAACTTGTCGCGTTATATTCGGTCCGTTGCCTAAGCGCGAATTTCTCATAGTTGAGCGGGGAGGGATTTTCGGTGCTGATCATTGAAGCCGGCCCTGATGCTCAAAATGTGTCCGCGATTTTTAATGCGGAGGAAAGTGGCAACCTTGTGAGTCATATTCTCTGGTATGACACCATTTCTTACACGCGCATAATTACCCCTTTCGTTTGTTGTGAAGAATGGATTTTGTAACTGGAAATATCCAGTCTACGACGAGGTACAAATCCCTCTCTCTTGGACGGCTGACAGTGGTGTAAGTTTGGTGGCATTGGAATGATATAATTGCAGCAGGCACAATAACCTTGCATTGCAGGCGTGCATCGGTGGATCGACTTCGAGTACGTGTGTTACATCCTCACTTATTTTCATTCGTCTAATTGCGACATGCTCTATAGTCAACGGGATGGTAAGTCACTTAGTTCTTTTCCAAGTCTCTTCATTGACGTTCAGCATCGGGAATAGGTCTGGTATCGCCCTACCAAAGCAGAAATAGATGCTCTGGAGATATTGGGAAACCCAGGATGGAACTGGGATGCCCTCGAACCTGTTCGTGAGATTTTCTGCTCAAACATGTGTTGAGTATAGGCTTCTTAGAACCTACCGTTGCTTTAGCATATGGCAGCAATTGAACGCAATATCCCACCGGATGGAAGCCAGATTGCCGATGGCGCAGCGTTCGATCCCCGGGTGCACGGTTTCAGCGGGCCGGTCAATACATCGTTTCCCGTTCGTTTCCCGTCGTGTCGTTGCAGAATAAACATATAATTAATTTACCTTTTTTCTTTTTAAAAAACAGACGCCGATGAGGATACCTGAAGCACAAAGGCTATATAAAGAGGCTTTTCCGCTCATATTTCCGGGCCTTACAGTTGGTGACGATCTAAGTAATCGAACTTCCGTTGTCTCCGCCTCCACGTCTTGGACGATTTGGTTTGATGCATCGACTTCGAAAAACCGTCGATCATCGGCGGCATTTGCATTGTTATATGCTCCAACACAGCAACGTGACTCACTCACCGTACTTGCGGAGCATAAAGTCGCAAAAGTGCTATTCGAAGAGGGAGACGAACCTAGGGCAAATGGCGTGCAGTTTGGGAATGCCAGCGACGGAACTTTACATGACGTTTTTGCAAGGAAGGAAGTCATCCTCGCCGCAGGTTCTTTCGGCAGTGCACCGATTCTCGAGCGATCTGGAATAGGAAACTCTTCGTGAGTGTCTCTCTCCATGTCGAATGCGCAAGGCTCTTAATAAAGCTGTAGCATCCTTGAGGAGATAGGTGTCGAGCAGCTTGTTAATCTCCCTGGAGTTGGAGTCAACCTTAATGTGAGTATATGCTGTCAGTAGGCCCATGCAGCACAAACTAAGAATGTAAATTGCCTTCTAGGATCAGCCTGGGACCGAGTCTTCCGCTCTCGTCTCCAGCTCTTTTCAGAATGACACAGGATTGATAGACGGCAGAAGTCTATTTGCACCTATTATTTCGCTTGTAAACATTGACGAGCTGTTTTCGTCGAGTGAATAATGTCCATATTACCGTTTCGCAATTCCTGACTTGAATATAGATAGCTTGCAAATAGCTAAAGATCTATATGATGGGGTTGGAGCTCGTGCGAGCGACCTAGTGGCAGCTGGCGCAGCAGCATCATTATCGAGTGCCATGGCAGTGCTCAGCGTTGCTACTACTCTCGTCGTCCAAAATAGGCGTATGTATTTCCGGTTTCGTGTCGCGGCAATTTCTTCTGACTTCGGTTTGCCTGCCCGTGAATTAGTACCAGTCGCAGAGACGATCGGCGAAAGTTTTTCCCAAATGCTTGCAAATGCCTTCTGGCCGTTAACGCCACTCTCACGGGGCCACGTTCATATCAATACGACAAATCCATTTGCAGATCCCATTATAGTTCCACGATTTCTTACCGACACGTTTGACCAGCAAGTCGCTACGACAATTGCACGAAGAAGTCGTGCACTCTTCACCAGTGATCCTTTTTCAACGATTGTAGCCGACGCGTTTGCGAATCCGAGTAACGTTGGACCTAATGCCACTGATTCGGAATATCTGGAATGGTTCAGGAACACGTCGTTTGGTGCAAGTCATTGGATCGGGACTACAGCTATGATGCCACGTCTCTTGGGTGGTGTGGTGGATTCTCGGTTGAGGTAAGCTATTCTCCACATATGCTGATTTCTGAGACTTACGTGCTAATTAACTTTCGTAGAGTACATGGAACGAAGAACCTACGAGTTGTGGATGCTGGCATTCTTCCGTTCCAGCTTACCTCGCATTTGATGTCGGCTGTCTATGCTGTCTCGGGAAGGGCTGCAAGCATCATCCTTGAGGATGCATAAGATCTTGCCCGTTTGGAGAATTTCTTTATGCTTACCGTTATTTGGGGTATAAAGTCGTGGACAATACACCTTGAACGAGTTGATGGTCAAATCGAGACCTTGGACAAAGTTTGTGTAAATAACACGTGAGAATGACAAAGATTCGATTACGTATAAATATATTACATAATCTAAATCTGCAACTGAGCACGGAGCACCCTCAACTCAAGACCAATCTGCCAGAATTAAATCTGCAGCACGCTCAGCCACGATGTAAGTAGCGGCGACAGTATGTGCGGCTGGTATTACTGGCTGTTGGATGATGGTTTACCTGTCAGCAGAGTCGTCAAAGACATCACGGACGACACTGGTACTTACGAAAATAGACGCGTCGACGACCCGCAGACCTGAGGCACCTTTGACGCGAAGCTGAGGGTCAACAACACCCCATGACGCATTCGTGGGTGACATCCGTGCAGTTCCCACTGGATGCCAGATAGTTACGATGTTGTCGCGGGCGGCCGCAAGGATCTCGTCGTCCGAGTTTGCTTCGCTGACGGCACCGTAGGGACCAGCAACGAAGCCTTCCCATTGAGGGCCTTGGATGAATCGACGCGTTGCTTTGATTGCCTCAAGCATGATGGCTTCGTCGATTGGCGAAGTGAGGAAGGCGGGGTCGATAAGAGGAAAGTCAAATGGATTGGTCGACGCTAATGTAACAGAACCGCCTGAATCCCGTTTTAGAATTTCTCTTGCTGACCCGCTTTGATAAACAGAGACTCACGAGATCCTGGGGATACGACTACTGTGCTAATCGTCATGAAATTACCAGTGTTTGGTGCTGGTCCCGATGTTGCAATGAATCCATCCTACACAATTGTGATTAGTCTAGACACAACATTTAAGAATGTGGATACTACTCGCAGAAATGAGCATCTCAAAATGGGCAGAGCTCGGACCTGTTTCATGGTACTGTCGTGAGTAACACTTTGTACCCAGCAATAGTTGAGTACTCACCAGCGGACGTATCTCCATATGTACTCAGGACAGACGAGTTATCTGGTAAACGTGCAAATCCAAGCGTATTAACGAGGGTGGTAGTGAATAGACCCGTACGAGTTTCGTTCCATTGCTGCAAGTCAGATGCGGATACATTCGCATCGCGGAACACGTTGTCAAAGGTGGAATTAGAATTGACTTCAAAGTAGTTGCCCAGTAAAGGGTGATCCTGCAAGTGTTGGCCGACGTCTGGAAGATCGATCAGCGAGCGTATGCCCATGGATTTCAGAGCTGTACTGTTTCCAATGCCAGACAGGAGTAATAGTTGAGGCGAGCCAATAGAACCTGCTGAAAGAATGACTTCCTTCTTGGCCGTGGCATTTAGACGTGTCGCTGTAGAGGTTCGTTCAATAATCCATGCTTGCCATACGACGGATAGAATAAGCTAACGAACCATTGGGTCCCTGAGAGAACTCGACTGTATCAAAAACAGGCTTTCCTTGTTTCGATTTGCCCGTCGAAATCACCCGTGTTACCTGGGTCTGAATAAGAACATCTAAGTTCTGTCGCGAGAGTACAGGGTCCAGATGTGCAGTGGCTGCACTACTTCGTTCCCCTTTTCCTATGGTTGCTTGTACGAATCCTTATGAAGCAGTCGTTATCAGTTAAATCCATGGAATGCAGCCCTTCTCTACTTACCAAAGCCAACAGCATTGCCCGATTGCAAGTCTATATTAAACGGAAACTCTGGATCACCACTCAGGGCTGTTTCTATGACTCGTTCGTCCGTCTCTGCTGGAAAACCTGGCAAGCTGACTTCTACTGGGCCGAAACCGTGTACTGAAGGGTCTACTTGACCAGTCGTGTTGTGACCATCAGCGGGTGGGACAAGTCGGGAGCTCTAACATGATGAATGTATGCCCAACGTTTTCTTGTATCCAAACAAACAGAGAGCTTACCCTGAAATAATATTTAGCGAGGTTCTTCCATTCCCAGCTAGGATCATCCGTCAAATTTGCCCAGCGATTATACTCCTCGTCCGATCCACGGGTATACACCAAGAAGTCTAAGACATCGTCATTGTAGTGGTTCAACCAGTGGCGAGGGTCGCAATGGACTTACTGATGCTGGAGCTTCCACCAAGTACTCTCCCCCTTGGATAAGTCAGGACACGATCGTCTAGCTGTGTCTGAGGCACGGTAGTGAAATTCCAAGTAGCTGGTGTTGCTGGAACCAGCTCTCCCACCAGGAACGGAACAATGGAGGGAAGTAGACCTTCGTTTCTGGTTATTGGGTTAGAAGTCGTAAACAATTGTGAAAACGGTGCGACGTACGTGATCCCAGCCTCGATAACCAGTACTGAGAATTTTGACGTCTCCGTCAGCCTATTCGCTAGTACGCTCCCTGCGGTACCACCTTTGTGCAAAATTAGCTGTGGGCATCTTTCGAGGGCTTGATCATGCATCAAGATGTGACGTACCCCCAACAATGATGAAGTCATAGTCGCTCTTCTCAAGCTGATTAACGTCTGTATATAACTTGGCGTTTACAAACTTTACAGCAGAAAGGATGAAGATCGAGAGCTGCGAGAACGCGAGTAGTCTTGCCATGAGGAGAGCCATGATGATCGAAGGTCCAGGTTTGGCTGGCTAAGGATAGTGGTACCATCGGCATCTGAGCCCTTTGTATGGAATTGCGCGGGAATATGGAAACAGCGAGTGTCCGTAAAGCCGCAATACTGAATTGCCACAGGAACATATCCTTTCGCTAATTTGATTTCTCTTCTTCAAGGTACCTTCTCTTATTTCGGCGGAGGTATGATATTCTGATGTCATTGGTGGCAGCAAGCATTGTTCCTGCGGAGGTCCGTACCTGAAAGGTAGTCCGCCGTGATTGTCGTGCCAGGCTGGATGTATGAGCGCCGTGTTATTTCGCTGCAAACCTCAATCCAACTGCGCCGGTGTCCAGGCAAGCAATATGGGCCTTTCGAACCTCTATTCATCGCCTATAAGTTATGTGCCACGCAATTTATTCCCTCGGAGATGTGAATAAACATTCAGTCCATCAATACACTCAGGAGTCCCACACAGGAGTTCCGAATTCTGATGCATCCGCGCTTTCGAGTGATGGTTTCCTTGAAACGACAGCAATAGAATTGGCAGGTGTGACAGTCTTTCCATCCGCATTATTAATTGCTCCGCTTAAGCTCGGAATATACGATAACACCATTTAGTTTCCTTGCATAACCAGCTCTCAGTCATGAATGCCTTCAGGTTAGATCTTTCACATGAGCACCTGGAGAGCACATGAAACACAGATGGCCGCCACATAGGCGATGATTTGTTCTCATGTTGATGGCAGATGCGAAAAGTAGCGAAGCGCAATCAGGTAGTCCCACAGAACTGAATTGCTTCGTTGAATTGTGTTACACGTCTTGCGTATGACTAATTGACTAACGAGGCTCTTCTAACATAGTTTGTTTCCGGACATATGACTTCAAGATGTCAGCGGCCCCTTCGTGCCGGCATTTAGTAACCGTTCAGAATTCCGGAATACAGTGGACTGTGATTAAGGACCTAATAATGGAATTTTCTTTGTCACGTCAAGGAAGTCGTGCCCTAATTTCGGGAGTTGTGTAGTGACTTGGCCATTTTATATAAATGGACCAGAGTTGAAGATACAACTGAAATAACTCACCTCTAACTTTGCAGTTGTTTGCAAATTGCAATTCTCACATCTTGTCATCCCATGAGCTTCGGTTAGGTTATTGTTAGGTAAAGGCTTGTAGTAAAGGGCCTCTTTTGCTATTGTATTAGAGCAGGATTATAGTTGTAAAAAGAATCAAATTCTGGCACGATAGGTGTCATGAATGATCAACCAACGGGGCGAGTGAGATTTCATAATTCATTAAAATAAAGGCATCATAAAATACCGTTACGTAATAAGGCTCTGCTGACGGCAATAGTACTGTCCAGTGTCCAACAATTCAGACAGACTCAGCCACTTCCGTTAGTAGTGCCACTCTGCCAAGATGAGGTCTGCGGCGCGTTCCGATACGATGTACGTGGCAGCGACTGTGTGTGCGGCTGGTATGACCGGCTGACAGGAGGGAGGGTGGCAGGTAAGCAAACAACGTCATTGAACTAAGTAACTATACTGACGAAGATGGAGGCGTCAACAATTCGTAGACCTGATGCGCCCTTGACACGAAGCTGTGGGTCAACAACGCCCCATGAAACATTCGCAGGTGACATGCGTGCAGTTCCGACTGGATGCCAGATCGTCACAACGTTCTGTCTTGCCGCCGCGAGGATATCGTCATCTGAGTTGGCTTCACTGACGGCGCCGAAACGATCTATGATATAATCCGTCCATTGAGGACCACTGACGAATCTTCGTACAGCTTTGACGGCTTCGAGCATTATGAACCTGTCTACGGGTGTGGAAAGGAAGGCCGGATCGATGTGAGGAAAGTCGAACGGATTGGTTGAAGCCAGAGTTACAGAACCGCCTTAAAGCTCAAGTTAGAGGTACTGAAAGTCATTTTGGTAATTACGGAAAAGAAAGCTCACGGGAGTCTGGAGCTATGACAACCGAACTGATGGACATGTAATTCCCTGTCTCTGGTGCAGGCGTGGTTGCAGTTGCAAATCCATCCTACGATGACCTTGGTTAAATGAATATGCCAATGTAGTGCACGACACTTACGGCGAATAGTAACTCGTAGTGAGCCGACTTCGGTCCTGGAAATTTACCCAGAGGTGAGTCGATTATTTTTCAAGTACAGTATGAATTCGGTTCACCTGCAGAAGGATCTGTGTAATTCTCGAAAATTGACGCATTGTTCGGTAGACGAGCGAATCCAAGCGAGTTAATAAGAGAATCTGTGAACAGTCCCGTGCGTGTCTTATTCCACTGTTGCAAGTTTGCGTCGACGACGTTCGGGTTCCGGAAAACTGTGTCGAAGGTGGAATTGGACTTGACAGTGAAATAACTATTCAGCAATGGATGATCCTGCAGGTTCTGGCCAACATCCGGAAGGTCAATTAACGGGGTGATGTGCATAGACTTCAAGGTTGTGCTGTTTCCTACTCCCGAAAGGAGTAGAATCTGCGGAGTACCAATGGACCCTGCTGAGAGTATAACTTCCTTTTTAGCCATTGCAATCTTTCGTTTTGCTGCGCGAAACGGTAAGTCTCCTTGAATCCGACAAGAAAAGAAGCATGACTACAGACAATTGGGCCCTTGTGCAAATTCGACCTTATCAAACAAGGGTTTTCCATGCCTTGAGCGGCTCGTCGACAGCACCTTCATTACTGTAGTCTGTACGAGGACGTCGAGATTACAACGACTGAGCACAGGGTCTAGGTATGCAGTCGCGGCACTGCTGCGTTCCCCGTTACCGATGGTTGCCTGCGTTAACCCTTCAAAAATATACACGGTTATTGGAACCTAACAAATTCAAAGTGGACTTCTTACCGAAACCGACACCATTTCCAGATTGGATATCCAAGTTGAAGGGAAAATCGGGGATACCACTCTTGCTAGTATTAATGACACGATTGTCTATCTCCGTCGGAAAACTTGGTAAGCTGATTTCCACGGGGCCGAAACCGTGCGCAGAAGGGTCCACTTGACCGGTTGTGTTATGGTTGTCAGTAGGTGGGACAAGCCGAGAACTCTATTGTGAAGACATCACCCTTTTCAGAAATCATTCATCTTTAGAGAAAGGATTTGAATTGACCTTGAAATAATACTGAGCGACATTTTTCCATTCCCAGCCGCAGTCGCCGGTCAAGTTAGCCCAACGATCGTACTCCTCATCAGAGCCCCGTGTATAAATCATGAAGTCTGAAGTATCAAAGTGTTCTTAGACCGATAGGCTTTACCAGTGGAAGCAGGCATTTTACTACTCACTAACGCTCGAACTTCCACCTAATATCCTGCCCCTTGGATAAGGCAGAACACGATTATCCAATGCAGCCTGCGGTACAGTACTGAAATTCCAAGTTGCCGACGAATTTGGAACCATAGTCGGCGCTAGGAATGGTACCATTGAAGGTAGGAACCCTTCATTCCTTGTATATTCCAAATCAATGAAAAGGACAAAAAAATAATTGGAATTATAAAAATAACTTACGATATACCAGCTTCAATCACTAACACTGAGAACTCTGATTTTGCTGACAGCCGGTTAGCTAGCACGCTTCCTGCAGTGCCTCCTAAAAGGACGTCGATTCGGTCAAAACCCTCCTTCTCGTCTTCTTAGACAGACGTATCAAAAGCTATTAAACGCACCACCAATGATGATGAAGTCATACTCATCCTTTTCAAGCTGATCAACGTCCGTATATAGTTTGGCATGCGCGAACAGGACAGAAGTCAATACGAAGAAGAGCAAGAGCTGAGAGAATGCAAGCAGACGACGCGTGAAGCAAGGCATACTAGCGAAATAATACCCAAGGGCCGGCTGGAGAAGCAAGTTAGCCAGACTCACTGCTCTCTTTGTATCGGAAGCGCGGGAATTTATTGGAGCTCGGCTAAGTCATTGAGTCTGCGAAGTAATCGAAGCTCTGGAACTTGTGACAGGAACCACATCTTGTGGTCCAGGGCATATGCATACACACCTGGTGGCAGGTGCACGTCTTTTCTAATTTTAAGTTAAGCGGGTGCGATGATGGCGCTGTCGACGTCGCTTCGGTCTCGCTTTCATCTTGCCGTGGACAAATTACGCTGTAAATTATACCATGCATGAATAATGCATTATCAAGACTGTTGTATTTTAATTCACAGAGTTCTACCAAAGACTACGCAAAGCCCATATGTTCTTGCACTGACCTCACCTCGCCACTGAGACTTTTCCTGATGACGTGCGGCCAAACATTTGCCCGGCCAAGCCGACCAAAGTCCGGACCGTAGTTGTCCTTCAAAGTTCTCCTGGTTCTTGATAGATGGTAACCTTGACAAGTTGATGATCAGCATTGCACAAGTTCCTCCTCACCATTAACTCTCAAGCGAAACGATATATATATGAAATTATTCCGTTTACGTCGGAGTCTACCAGACTGTGCTCGTCATTCTGTATTCAGTCGCCCAACAGGAGAGAAGTCTTCTTCAATGTCCTAGGGTACAACCTTTCCCATGTCGGGTTCTTCAGGTCTATGAAACGTTGACGCGTTGAACATTTTCTTATCGTTCGCAAGCCGAGCATTCCCGCAAACAATTCAATTTGATTTCCAGCTAGGAAATTCTTTCAGTTGAATATAGTTGCCATTCACACATTGTTGACTACGTTGATCGTTCCTCATTACGATTACTGTCCCCCAACCTCAGACTTAAGAATATCTGCAGCCTACGTTGCAAATATATGAGCCGAGGATCACAATTCAGGAGAAACCTGGACCTACTTTCTCCCCGATTGTATATGCCATTGCTTGCGTATGACAGGACAACTCCTGAAAGACAAACAGTCAGTTTCATTTCCATATGACGAGTCACGTATTGTACTCACAAGCGGTAGGATCGACAGGTCGACCTGCCAAATGCCAATTGTTTCAGATTCTCGTACAGAAAAGAAAATCAACGGTACGTACCACGCGGAGATTGCTCGTCCCGTAAACTTTGAGAGTATTGTCCACGACACCACCATCCTCACGTGGGAGCATTGCAGCCGTGCCAATGGGATGATACACTGGACCACAGTTCGCCCTTGCATACTCCTTAAGCGTAGGGATGCCGCCGTCAAGAATTTCCTTTGAAGGAATGACTTGAGCCTTCACTATACTGTTTAACGGAGGTGTGTTGTACAGCTGGACTGCGAAGCGAACTATATGCGCGAGCAAATCAAGATCAGCTTCGTTCGCGAAGTAGTTTGGGTCGATAGCAGGAGGTGCAAGAGGATCGGAAGAAGCGATGTGGACCGATCCGCGAGACAAGGGGTGCATGAGTGCACAAAGTAGTGAAGTGTAACGCTTCCCTGCAACAGGAGTCGAATATGGTATTCTCGGGTGGCCCAAGAACTGTAAAAGTCTGCATGTGGTCAGATAAAGGAACGAGGCATCCGTGAGCAGCTACTTACTCTGCTTGAGCTTGGTTTGAGTCAGCGAACAGCTTCTCCAGTAGAGCATATTGCTTCTCTAAACCCGCTTTCAAGGAAGGTATAGCGCTTGATAGTCCTTCAGAACGATAAGTACGGGCATGTTCTTGCCAGGATGCCAACTCATCCTTCGTTCCGAGGGCGGAGGCAGGAAGGAAAATATATGCAGGAACTGGTCCATAAACTAGAAGCCCCTGTTGCTGCTTGCTGGAGGTGGGACAGTCAGCCAACCGGTTCATACTAAGACAAGTAGAACATACTAAAGCTCTTCGTGCTTTTTGAATGTTTCGGGATCCTTGAGACTATCATACGATTCCTCCGTATCATCGATCTCAACAATGGTTGAAACACTGACATGGTCCTCTGCAAGTACGAATGCACAGTGAGAAAAATACCTTTCATTTGTATGCAACGGAATATGGAGAACGTACGGAGGTTCTCGCCGACTCCAGGAAGGTCGATGATGGTCGGAATGTTGAACTTCGACAAAATTGCTGGGTTGCCGATACTAGACAGCTCCAGGATTTGGGGTGTTTGCAAAGAGCCTTGAATAGGACGAAATCAGTAAGGAATTGTCAGATACATGGTACAATGGCCTACCGCAGGATATAATCACATCCTTTCTCACCCCCTTGATCTCAGAGACAATACCGTCCTTCGAGACTTCCACTCCAATTGCCTTCTGCAACGAATCAGGCCCGGTTTCCAAAAGAACCTACAAATCGAACATAGATGACATTCCATTGCACGATTTTATCTCTGCCGTAATCTGACCTTTGTTACTTGAACATCCGTGAGCAGCAAGAGATTGTCGCGTCCAAGGTGTGGCTCCAGATACGCATTCGCAGCTTGAGATCGCACAGCTGTACGAGGATCAATAGAAGAGAACGCAGTCATGGAACCAACAGTCTTCCCGCCACACTATAGGTCGTAGTATGAACAATCGTATAAGAAAGTGTAGAACGGCTTTGGGCGTACTGTTTCGGAGTTCCTGGGTATCCCGAGCGCTTCAGCAGAGTCGAAAAGTTGCACTTGCGATTTTGTCCACGTCGGTGGCAATGACTTAAACAGTGGTCCTGTGAACACTTCATTAGTTTCGACAAGTCTGTTTATTTAACGTCTTAATCTCGCCATTTGTTCCATGAAGGTCTGGTTCTGGCTTCGCAGCAATAGCCTCCGCATCACTTGCTGAAAAAGACTTCGGAAGGAACGCTGTCTCACTCTAATGCACAAACGACATCATATGCAACTAAAACAGGATGACTAGCGCATTGAACCGCACCTTCTTAGCATAATACTGCAGCGAATCCCAGTTCCAGCCTTTGTTGCCGAATACCTCTTCTAAAGCGTCACATTCTGCCTTGGACGGCCGGAACATACCAAGGTAATTTATCTAACAAGATTGTAAGAGGGTGTTCATCCAAAAATGAACAGAACATTACCAGTGAAGATCCACCTAAACCCTTTCCACGCGGTTGACGAACGACCCTGTCGTTTGCGCGCTTTTGCGGGACAGACACGAAGCTCCAGTCATATTTCGGGTTTCCGACCGTACGGCCCAAAAGACCTGTCCGGCAGTGCAAATAAGCAAGCTAAACAGACCGGCAGTCCAGCAGGAAGATGAAATCACCAACCTGGAACATCGATCTCTGGCACTGATGTATAATAGCCACCCGCCTCGATAACGAGTACTTTAATGTTCGAGTCCTCCGTCAATCTGCATTACCGTTATCAGGAATAAAGATAATGTTTTATGAAATATCAAATTTCACGTGCCGTGCTGCCAGGGTCAAGCCCGATGTTCCACCTCCGACAATGATGTAGTCAACCTCACGGATATCTGAGAGAGATACAAAGGGCATCTTGCGATCTTGCGAATGCTTGTCCTTATTCTTGTCCTTTGCAGCTGATGGTTTGTTCGACGAGGCTTTTGTACGTCCCCTGGGTGGACAGCAAAGTTTGTTCAAGACGCTGAACATCTATCTGTCAATGCAGAGTAGAGATGCAAGGCGTTAAAGAACCTCTTCCTATCGCCACTCATCCCCATTCCCATCACACTTCTGTGTACTCAGAAATGGGAGCATCGAATAAAATTTCTTGCCCTTGTAATTCTAGAGTTTACCAGAAGGAACTGCTGTCATCTGTGAAAGCTTCAGAATACTTAGATAGGTGACATGAGGTCACACCTCTTTAGGTCCAAAAATTCCATCACGAACCTCACGAGCAATCGCGGAGCATATTCCTCATATCCAGCATCATACGGACATCCGCGGATCCTTTAGACGGCGAGGCGTAGGGCCCAAGATTCGAGTTTTGCCCATCCGTCTTCCAATGCGGCGCAGTGTGAAATGACGGGCGTCAATCAGCTTCCCGTACGTTCTCCACTTCACGGAGAAAACGAGGCTCCACAAAGAGATAGGGGGGAGGCACATTTACTAGCCGGAGATAGAATGATGTCGTAAAGCGGAAGGAAGTTTGGTGATGTGATGAAGGGGAACTGAGGTCGAAAAGGCATTCTCAAGTTCTCAACTAGAACAAATTGGCCGGAAAATCTTAGGGAAGGTCCGACGATGATCGTTTTACCATTATAGGGCACAGATCCACTAGCTTTATTTTGGGTCACCTCAACTCACCTGCACTGGTCCCGCAGCTCCGAGTATGCAGGATCATTTATCACCACCCCATTTTCGTCTCGATCTTCCGCTTCTCGCAGTTCTTCGACTCCTGATATCGGTCGCTCTCTGCGGCGTTCCATTGAATAACGGGGCACTTGACAGTTGTTCCACTTCCACGCCACAAGGCAGATTAGTTCTCCGTGTTCCTAGAAAACTTTCCGCTCGGTAAGAACTGTAAACCCTCTGGAGTGACTTGCCAGGGCGTTTCTCACATTCGGCAGAGGTTTTGTCGAACCTAAACTTACTTACAACCTACATCGGAAATTCAGAGATAAATTGTAAGTTGTGCATCGCAAACCTAATCTTGGGCCTGAGGCGTGTGTACAGGATATTTCCGACGCTGAAAATCAAGCATGGAAATAAAATCGAATTTAATGGCAGAGATTCAATGAGAGACTGAGGCAAACACTTGGTACGGTATATGCGAAGACGTGAATAAAACAGTTACGAATAGTCAGGAGTACAACAATCTGAAGAAAGTTCAAAACGATGCTGTTTAAATGGTGAAACATGTTCATTATCTAGTGGTTTTCATTCCTTCTTCTGAGTACTACCCACTTCACGGTCATGAGGTTCACAAGTGAAACGACCATTACAATCTAGACAGCAAGTGTAAGCCACTCAAAAACAGAAAATGTTCTTCTAATAGACTGAACATACTGCAGCGAAGGCAATGCCCTTCCACCAAATGAGATCTGGGCCTAGTGTTGCACTAATGATTGGTGACCCAATCAAATATGCGACACCGACTGGGACAAGGGATATTCCCATTCGTTTACTGTCTAATAGTCAGCGAACTTGATTTTCCCATTTGATTTGAAATGCATACCCAATAATAGCTGGATTCGTCTTCAGGCTTGCAATCATGGGCAAATAGACGGACAATACTTTTTTTAATAGTAGTTAGATAACGAAGTATATAAAGGCAAATATGACACTTACTTCCACCAACGAAGAAGCCATAACTAAATGCCAAATAAGATCTCAAATCATCGAATGAATAGAACTAACAACGCACAATATTGTGAAAAGGACCAATCCGACTGGATGGCCACAAGCGAGCATAGCAATAGTGACAGGACCTTGGTAATCATCTCCGTCAATACGCTATATCCTTAATTGAAAAAAGGAGTGAGATATATACCGCATAGGCCCAGACATCCCATGAAGGCATTCATCGCTCCGAACTTATCTGCCAAGTAATTTGGAACAATTCGTCCGAATATGCACGATGCATTCAAAATCGCAACAGAATAGAAGGCAAGCGTCTGGTCAATCCCATGTAATACCGCGAAGAGCTGAACGTAGAATATTGGGAAGTATGTTGCTAATGATGCGAGGAACGCGCCCCACATGATCATGACATATGGCAAATCCCAAAGTCCAGATGCACGCGAAGTCTTGTTTGCCTGGTTTGCAGGTCGGGGTGGGCGAGGAGGTTCAACCATAAGCATTATTCCAAGTACACAGCATCCCAGGGTAATGAAAGCCGCTATACGAACACCCCATGCAAAGCCCACCCTGCCATTCAAAAAATAGTTTAGCATAACTAAGAAAGCATGGTTAAATTTGCCGCCTGTTACAGGTAACATACAATACTTACTTGAGAACGCTATGCCTCCCAATGATCCACTTGACGAAACGATGCCCTGTTTAAAATCAGTGACAGTTATAACTAGAGGAACAGAATATTCACCAAGGCCAAGGCTTTACGGGTCTTAAAATGCGCAGATACCACAGTTGCACAAGGTAGGTAAAGTAGTCCAAATCCAAGACCCATTCCGATGCCCTGAGATAAGAATATCTTTAAAATCCAAGTAAGTAAACGTAGTTGGAGCGTCAAATCAATACTTATTACCTGGTAATATTGATGCTCCTTTGCCAAAGACAACATGAAAAAGCTGTGTAGAAAGGAGTATAACCAACTATTGTGAAACTATTATGAGGACTGTTAACCTGAATGTTGTCAAGACAGATCCAGCAACAACTGTAGTTCTGAATTGTCTAGCATCAAATCTGAAATGTGACGTCAGCATATCGTTTTATCAGTAGTAAGTGGATGACTGTACAGAACTCCGGCGACAGGGGCAAAGGCCATCTCAATGAACAGCTGCATACTCCCAATCCAACTGATTGTAGAGGCAGACTCATTGCTCAGATACTTTTGTGTATAGAAGTCCTGGAATACACCGAATGCTGCGGGCTGCGAGAATAATACCATATTAACGCCTTGATAACTTGCCACTCATAATAATGCAAATAAATTGCGTACAAGGCCAGCAACGCAAAATGTTAAGAGGAAACTCCCAGCAACTGGCAAAAATATGATCAGGCACGACGGAAATCAAGAAACATACAGTACGGACCTGTTGACCACGCCCTTACTTTTCCAAGCGGGTAATCACCAGGAACGGTGGCGGGCGCGGGCCTTGGTGGCTCGGCCAATTGGTCGGTCGACGTAACCTCAACGGCTGGAGCTGCCTGACCTGTCTCGTCGACTTTCTCTGCAAGAGCCATTTGTGAGCGGAGTTGTATGAGCTAGGAGATGAACGTCCGGAAGGAGAGGAGGGCGTAATACGCCATATCCGAGTATGGTAGGTTTCGGTATCACACAATCGTGAATGGAACTGATAAAATATAATTAATTTAGATTTTCTTCACAAATGTACAGACGTCCAAAATGGCAAATAGTTTCAAGCTCCGACGGGAGATGCTGTAATGGATCCGTCACGGCGATTAAACAAGACCCGTCACTTGCGGCGCATCTGGTTCCACAGCGTGACGCGCTCCAATTGTATTGCACTCGCACTCAACTTCCGTGCACTACATCAGCACGCCGAGCCTGAAATCAACGAGGCATGATTTGTCGGCGCACCGAGCTCACCACCCTGAGAGGGACCCAGATGGACCATCAAATCGCTGCATAAATCTAATTGTAATCTAGCCGATGAATACGGAGCTGACAGACTGATCGTCGTCTCGAGGACACGTGTGGCACGGCCGCCGCAATCTAGATTGTCTACGGATTTACTCCTGTACTAACGCCGCGTGTCGACTCCTGCACGGCGAATCTTGAACTTTAGTTGAACTTTAAACCAGACACCTTGTATGAGCAAATATTTTACGTTTACTGTTGGCATAACCTACTACATGGCAAGTACTACCGAGGAGCAAAAAAGAAACAGCGGACTAGACAGACTTAAGAAGATGACCTAATTTATCATCCTTCCAATACATATATTGTGCACGCTAAAAATGCATGCGTGATGGAACTCATGTCTCAAGCTTCAAGAGGTAATATCGAAGTCTTCTTCTTACTCTCCGAATCCTGTGGAGCGCCCGTCAGCAGCCACTCACCCTCGGAGTAAGCGAAGGAATACCCACCCGTGAGTCCAATTCGACGTTATCAGTCCATCTTTCCTGTTCGACTTGAATTCCGCCGAAGGAAGTTGTCATGGTACGACTGCTATTAGTTCCGAGTGCAAGTGTCTGAGGGGAATTCTTGCTGTTGAAATTGCTGCATGAAATGAAGCTAGCCTCTGCGCCCGATCCCCCGCCGCGACCATTCGCTAAGCGTAGTCGACTGTTAAAGACCACTAGTAGAGAATTTGAATAGAGTTTGGCGAGGATGACAGCAATGCACACGTGGTAGCTCATATCCGGGTATGCTAGGAAAAGTGACAGTTCAACAAGTGCCATGGTTGCTGAACATCCACGATAACGCCACGTTAGCAAGGGAACGAATAATTAGGAATACACTAATTTAAGAACCTGTCAAGCATCCGGTCTCAATGATCAAACGAATGAGCCTCGAAAGCAAGGCATGCGTTGCGTTCATCCCCGAGTCCTTTCGCCTGAGCTGTTCGCGCTTCAGCATAAAGTAATGCAGTGCTAGGGAATGACCACTGACCAAGAATGTCATGGATGCAGCGATGATCAGATCGCATGCAGCGCTTCCGGCAAGCCAAACCTTGAAATTGAATTATATGCCAATCAGTGATCAAACAAATTGTTGGCCACAATTTGCAATACTTACCGTAGTGGAGGCGAATGCCTTGGAAGCCAGAGTACTAAACCTGCCAGCTTCGAAAGCCTGTACTCCTTCGGCAATAGCAGCAGACCCTTGAGTAACAGCAAGCTATAGAATGTCAATTCAGCCCCAGTTCTACAGGTAACAGCAGGTTGCACTTACAGCAGAGATACCGATTACGAGTACTTTCGATTTCGACAGGACGTAGATTCGGTATGTGTAACATAACTGGACTGTGCAGCTTACTGTGGAAAGCAATGATCAGGTGTTTAGTTTCCAAATGATCTTCTTCGTCAGACAAACCTATTCCAGACAGTACCGGAACGGCAAGCCAGCCTGTTTGCATTGCATCCAAAGCAGACAGACTTCCAAATCCTTTTGCATACGAGAAGAATGCGTCATGTGTGACGATAAGGGTCTGAGCCATGTCGACGGTGTATAAACCGTAGACAAGACATTTGAACGCTGTTCTGTCTTTTGGAAATGCCAGATAATAGATATCTAAGAGACACGCGATCAGGACACGCAGATCGCAGCGACCCTGAAAGGAAGCCACTGACAGACTTGTACAGTCAGGATCCCAAATAGACCCCAGTGGAAGAAGTCACCGAGTAGCTGCACACGTTGTTAGATAAGGGAACCGATTCTAGAATCTGTGAGCACAGGACATACCAAAGGAGCAGCACTTGAAAGAAGAGCGATCTCAGCAAGGCTTCGAGTCAGGCGGGAGCATGGTGATTACTTACAGAGCCGCAATGTTCGGAGGAATTTCTTCGGTCGACATAGTTGAATACTCAGTGGACACTGCTGGAAGGGATAGATAGTCCAGATGGGCGTTATAAACTAAGGCGCTACACATTCATCACATGCGCATGGTTTACACACACGTTAAGCGGTTCCGACTGCGATCCTAGGAAAAGATCGAGACTGATCGTCAGGTGGCTAATCCAGTAACCATCATTCAGAGATATAAATGGCTCCAGCCAATACAATGCTCAAACGTCAACGTAGCTATCAGACAATCAGGAACTTTCGAAGCCCGAGGTACAATGAGAAGTCCATTGCGACTGCACTAGACAAGAGACTCGACTCCAGGGATCACGGGAAGAATATAGTGCGAAGATTTATAGAAGATAATTCGTGGAGTACCTGACCACCAGGACTTGAAAGGTCGTGGATCAAAGGCGAGGAGAAAGCGAAACCACTTCAAGTGGACAGAAGTATATCAGTAACCAAAAAAGGAATCCATTTGATGATGACAGCCACGTCTATTGATTGGTCGCCAGAACATCGCTGATTCGGAATGCTCAATAGAATCGTCGCCTCCTTCTGGACGTCATGAAATTCAATAAATATACGTTGGCCAAAAAAGAAAACCTGCCTTTTCTCTAAAGCGTAAAATTTAGGAAAGCAGGATGTAAGTTACAGACGAGTAGAAAAGGAAATAACGCTGGCTCCCACGAGAACTTAAGAGGGACCAGAAAATAAAGTGGTACCGGTAGCCGGAAAGACCTTTACACATGTGGATGTCTTCTTACCCTTGCGAACGTCGATAATCCGCCGAAATAACCACGGATCCTAGCCCTTTCTGTTAGACAATCTCGCACGAAAGGCCGGATCTCGTTTTCAGGAAGTTGCCAATGTTTACTAGTAGTGGGTAGCATCCCCTGTGTATTGAAGAAATCAGCGCCCAACTACATTAACATTCGATGGACGTCGTAGCTACATCTGGGTCGGCCGCTCTGGATGCCTCTGATTGCGACGTATCATTATTCTCAAGCGATAAGGGTACGAGAGACGGAAATGACTTTTGAGAAGATCAGCAAAACTCATGGCGACGGGGAAGTCGCGAGTTGGTCCAGGTGATAAGCGAAGACTAGGAGCTGTCTCCAACATTTGGTTGTTTCCATTGTGCACATATCAACAGTACTTCAGTATTCCTTGGAATACATCAATTAATACAACCACAGTGATAACGCACGCACAGGCCACGCGACATGGCCTATTCTATATTATGCTGATTTTTTACAGCACTCGTACAAATATAGAGCGTCGATAAACACGAATTCTTTCTTTCTCTTGGTTTCAAGATGGGATGAATTAAGACAAGATCTGAGAGAGTATCCAGCGCTTAAACTTTGAGTACTCATTTGTTGCATTCACTCTCCCAATACTCTCCAAATCCGGAGGAGCACTCGTAAGTATCCACTCTTCTTAGAGCTTCTTGCAACCTAATATCATTGTCTCCCATGAACTCAAATTCTCATTCTTCATCCAGATCATTTGCTCAGCTCAAACTTCTTCATGTGTAGATGTCGTGACCTTGTTATTGAACGGCACAAGGTCATACGAGGCTTAACACAATGCTCAAGTTACTAAATACTGCACGTTGCGAAGCTGGTATCGACATTCGAACTTCCGTTGGTGCCATATGCAAAGTTTAATCAAACCAACAGTGTGTCTGCAATGACATCAACTTGAATGCACACACGACATCTCGGGAAGACCAGGTATAATGATAGTTCATCAAGCACTATCGTCGCCGTGACGTTTGGGGCAACCACAATTGGCGTGCTCATTTGCCACGAGCGGAACGGAAACTTGAGCATTTGTCATACACTCGGTCTCAGCGGAACAAGCTTCGTATCTGATGTATACATGTCGTTCTTTTTCGAACCATTACTCCGCAGTTCTTAACAGCTCAGCATATGGTGTAGAAGAAACCAAGGAAAAGGAACTGACAGAGACACCCATGGCCACAAATGATGAAGTCGCCTGCGATACACCGCTTGCCGTATCAATGACATCTGGTGGAGAATTCATCAGTGATAATTCTGGGTACCACCCCACGGACTCACGGTAGATAGCGTGTATGATTCGTAAGTTACCATGCTAAAGCCTACCGATCTGCGCTCAACCGGAAACAACACCAGTTCCAGAAGTTGCAGGAAGATACGAGTGTCGCATTGTTATGGTTAATCCATCCATCATGGACGGGAACATCAATATCTCCCCGTCTTTGGATAGGAAAAGGACTGAAGTAGGGGAGGACTACAAAGAAGCGAGTATTGTTGTCAAGTCCGAGATATCACAAGTTTCTACTCTTGAAAACGATGCACTAGACTGATGTTAGAGGATGATATTTATCCGATATGTAGCATCAATGGGCGAAAATTTTAGATACCTTTGTCCATTTTCGGTGAAAACACATTGGGTTAGATATCTAAAACCACTTACTATCCATGGTATCGTGGCATTACAGTTGTTTTGCTTGATCAGTGATTAGACAAGAAGAGCAGGCATGTATTGAACGAAGTGCAATTCAAACAGACTGCGATAGGATCTCCCGGTGGAGACAAGACTTTATCGGTGTGCATTGGTTGATGGATGATATGCTGGCTGATAGATTGTTCACGAAGGTCAACGAGTTTGGCCACCAAGGAGAAGACCGATTTCTTTCCCTCAAGCTTGTCTGACTTTATCAACTGAGTAGGTTCCTCGGACCTTGAGAGACGTGTCATAAATGCAGAAAGAAAGAAGTCGAAGAAGCAGATAATTCACATGAGAGCTCTGTGCGGTATGTATAAACTATATTGGAATACATTTTACTGGTTCTCAGCAACAAGAGAGAGTATTGGCTTACGACGTTGACATTTCCTTGTGAAGATCTATCCCCATTGCAGACACTCAGGAGCTCAAGCCTTTTGTTATCATTTCGTTCTTCATCTGCGACAACATCGCATCAATGGAGAATTTTCATGTCGATGGCTTCCTGTGCTTTACAAGTGTTGCTGCAAACAAAGAAGCTAACTGCGTGCATTTGAATTCAAATTAGTATAATAGTAGCTGCTAAAGTCTAAAAGTACCTGGCTCCTACTTGCATATGCTTTAAGTGATATCCTGACATCGTCTTCGTAAATAAGAGGGACTTGAAGCGGAAAGATGAGTGCTGATGAATCTCTTCAAATTTTCGGATAATCAAAGTCGACTTGAAGTCAAGTTCGTTACCATTACTATTAGCACTAACAATGGCGAAGTGATGACGTAAGGCAGTGTCGTTGTTCATTGATCTCGACCTTATGCTTCTTAAAAAGTTCCAGCATTGGAAGTCCCTGCATTCAGCAAATTTCTCAGTCCCTCTCCTCAGCTGAGGTACATAGGGGTCGCGGAAGCTCAAATGCACGGCATCTTCGCTGTTGTTGGCCTCAAGAAACCCATGGTTTTCCAGAAGGGAAGTTAGCGCCCGCACCTAAACCTTTGGCTTCTGTGTTAAATGAACGTTTGCGAATGTCAAAGGCGTATTTGACAAGTGGCGAGGCTCTCTGGGTACCTTATTATTAGCCTCTGACTAGCTAGCTTGTTCATTCTACGTCTGTCCCAACTTTGGCACCGGTCTTACTAGATAGCAATTTGAACTTCTCGGGCCGGCACCGGACAACAACTATAAAAACTCTGTGGTGCAGAGTTCTGTCATTGACAAACATGATGGATCCAACACCTGAAACTGATGTGCTTCCAGCCATCGCCATCGTGAGTATGCAGATGTAAGGATGGACTTTTACCTATTACTAACAGTCTCCGCGTAGGTTGGAATTAGCGCCGAGCTTCCCAGTGGAGCTCATAGCCCAATCAATCTTGATTTCGACGCGTTTCAAGAAATCCTGCTCGACGGAAAGGATGTCTATGAAATATTTCCTCGTGAAAGATTGAGCATTGACTCGTGGGTGCCTGGGCTCGTTGCCACAAGCCTAATCTGACCTTAGACTAGATGGAGGGGCCGCGGCCTTGGGCGCATAATCACGAACACAGGGGCTTTTGTAAAAAATTTAACGCTCTTCGATTATTTAGAATTCGGCGTCTCAGCGCGAGATGCAAAGGCGATGGCCGTCGGAGGTCGAAAGCTCCTGGAACAGTCTTTTTTGGCCCTCCTGGATTCTGGTATCGACTACCGCAGTCGAAATGTCGGGTGTTATGTGTCAGCAGTCGATTTTGATATAAACAACGTCACGGAACCGGTGCGTCAAGTCAAATGAATACATTATATACATACCTAGCTTTAAGAAAATCGCGAAATCAGGATGTGTTCGAAGCCCGGGGCTCATTCGCCGGGGCACCGTGTATGGTCGCAAATCGAATCTCGTATTATTTAGATCTCCTCGGCCCTTCCATTCCATTAGACACGGCTTGCAGTTCAAGTCTTACCGCGACGCACCTAGCGGTGCAAGCTCTTCGAAACGGTGATTGCGAAGCTGCCATAGTGGGCGGATCTCAAATCAATCACAGGTGAAGACAATGCCTTTCCTGGATCCAAATCTCCGGGACGATCAGACTCACAAATTGACAGACTTATCGACTGGATAAACTACAGTCAGGGATCCGTTCTCTCTCTAGATGGCAAATGCAAGCCATTTGACGCATCCGCGGATGGGTCAGCACGTCTAGCCCTTGTTCTAAACGAATGAAACTAATAATCCTCTAGATTCGGTCGCGGAGAAGGCACTGTTGTCGTCGTGCTGAAACTACTCAGCGATGCTATCCGCGATGGAGATCACATTTATGCCTCAGTCAGTCAAACTGTGAACTCAACAGATTAAGCGCTCACTAAAACCGGATAGATACTCGGGACTGGAATAAACTCTTGCGGATGCGCAGCCCCTGTCAGTGCTCCCGTGGCCGATGCACAGAAGGATGCAATGCTCAGGGCATACTCAAGTACTGGCCGCTCACCATCCGAAGTAGACTTCATCGAACTGCACGCTACAGGTTTGTTGGTTTTAGGTCAGGAGATAATCTAGCGCTCAACCTCTAGTATAGGTACAGCTGCGGGAGACCCAACTGAGGCAAACTGGGTCGGCGAAGCGTTCAAACGTAACGGAGAGCTATTACTTGGCAGCGTGAAAGGAAATCTCGGGCACCTGGAAATTACAGCTTTCCTCGCGTCACTGATTAAAGTATGCTCCATCTTCCGTAACGGAGTAATACCACCGACTGCCAACTTCTCCCGACCTAATCCAGCTATCAAGTGGGCGGAATATAACCTGCGGGTAGTGATTGAGCCAACGGTACTTTTGCCTCGTCATAAGTCTGGGCGGGCCCTTGTGTCCATTACTAGCTCTGGCATCGGAGGCAGTAATGGTCATGCAGTTGTCGAAAGCTTTGGATATCGTCCTATCCCGAACGGCAAGACGACTTCCACAAAGCGCGGGCCAGCGCTTATTATTACAGGGGGCCTGACACCACGTTCCGCAACAGCAAATGCCGAGATGCTGGTCGACACGGTATCAACTGCTCGCGTCGATGACTGGCCTATGCTTTCAGTCATCCTAGGAAGAAGAGCAAGACAAATGACCTGGCGGACTTTTGCAGTCGTGGTACCTAACCAACATCTCGATGTCGGAAACTTTTCATCTCCGAATCTTGTTTCTCGAAGTCGGCCACCTTTGGTCTTTGTTTTCTCTGGGCAAGGGCCTCAACATATTAACAGTAAGTTTGATTGGTACTACTAAGAGTGTAAGCCTCTGACGAATAATGCTAGTGGGACGACAACTTTTCGCATCTTATTCCGTTTTCCGAGAGTCGATCCTCAGACTTGACCAGATATACGAAGAAATGGTTGGACAATCTCTCATGAAAGCAATCGGCCTATTCGACACCTCGCTGAGTTCCACTGAGCTTCCTTCAACATGGCCTATATGCATCGTACTTCCGGCCATTGCGATGGTGCAGATTGCCCTTGTAGACCTCCTTCGGTCCTTCAATGTCATTCCGGATATAGTAATTGGTCATTCGGCAGGAGAGACAGCTGTGATGTATGCTTCTGGAGCTGCGTCAAAGGAAATGGCCTTTTCAGTAGCGATAGCCCGTGGTACAGCAATGTCTGTTGTGGAAGAGATGCAAGGGACTATGGCAGCGATATCCTGTAGTGCAACAGCTGCACAGTCCCTTATTGACACGGTTACTGATGGAGATGCGACTGGTAAAGTAGAGATCGCATGTTTCAATGCTCCGGAATCTGTTACCATATCTGGGTTAGAATCGTTCGTCACAAAGGCAGTTGAACTTGCGAAAGAGTGTGGACACTTTGCGACGATTTTACGAACACGCGTTCCAGTCCATTCCAGTATCATGGAAACCTGCAGGCAGAAGTACGAGGCCTTAATCCAAGATGTCTTTAAAGCGTATCCCGGTGACCATCGCCCGAGAGTCACGACTTATTCGACCTTGACTGGTCAGCGATGGAATACTTCATTCACTCCTGGTTATTTCTGGGAGAACGCACGAAATCCTGTACGATTTACAGACGCTATGTCAGCGTTGCTACTTGATTCACCTAATGCAACGTTCGTGGAAGTCAGTCCTCACCCAGTGCTTTCTTCATACATTTCCGACCTAGGAGTGACTCGTGGCTCTGTAATTTGTCCCATGCGACGTACAAAAACTTCGGATGAATTTCACGAGCAGAGGGTTCTTTTGCATTGTCTTGGGATATTAGTCTGCCAAGGGTCTGTCAATGCCGACTACATGGCTCTCAACAAGGTCCACGCTGTTGACTCGAAGCGCATTGTACTCCCACCATATCCCTTAGTTCGAAGGCACGTTCCGTATTATCCCAATCACTCTGTCCTCTCTAGGCATCAGTTGAACGAGCGAGGTGGGGCCTTGAACGGACGTCACCTTAGGATAAACTCCGCAACACACCCGGATATAGCCCAGCACGTCATCAAGGATGAACCCATCATGCCGGCAGCAGGCTATTTGGAAATGGTTTGTAACTTCTTCTAACACTGCATTATCATATCTAAAACATGCCTCTTTGATAAAGGTATTTGAAGAGGGTGCAAGGCAACTATGGAACGTTGACTTTCGTTCTCTGTTTTCATTATCTTCTTCGTATCCCGCCGCTTTGGGCCTCGAACTCGACGGCATTCATTTCTCTGTGGTATCCTATTCGGATTCGGAAACTAAAGAGGTCAGCACGTTTGTCCATGCCTTGGCTCCCTAGTTTAACACACTTGTTAGGGTCGCCGTCTTCATGCAGAAGGCTACCTATCTAGAGAACCCGAAGCAAACAGTTTCAGTCTCGATCCGTTCCAGTTAAGCACTGTGTTAGAGCGTTGTTCTAAAGTCGACATCTCAGGTAAGAAAAGCATGTGTGAATCAATGGCTTGATGCTGACCTTCTCTTAGACTTCTACGAATCGCTTAAATACTTCGCGAACTACGGTCCTCCGTATCAACGAATTATGACTTGCTATAAGGGAAAGCATGAGGTTTTAGCTGAAGTGCGTGGAACAACGGACGATCTTGAAAAGTAAGTTCCAAATCGATGCGTTATTCAGTGATTTACCTAATGAAGGTTAGTTCCCACCAATATGTTTTCCATCCCGCAATTTTGGATTCCTGCTTTCACGTCGCAGTCCATCGCATGCTGACAGGGAGTGTTGACAACAACGAGTACTATCTACCTTCACATGCCGATAATGTGTATATTTCCGAGGCTCTCGTTGCCAACGGGCCACCTGCTGTACTTTATGTGCACGTCATGTTCCGCCGATGGCATCCAGGTATGTAAAACTCGGTCATCCTTTACAAAAGGTGCTTACCGCAGTTTTTATATTTGTAGATCATCTCGTTTACGACTTCACTATTGTAGATGAGAGTGGCATACTCCTTTGCTCGATTCATGGCTTTGAAGTTGCCAGGCACAAGTCAATCCCGGATGCCAGCATACGACACCGCTTCGACATAGTTAACGAAGTTGTTCCTCCTGAGAAGTATCAGCGTCTGCCGAACGGAGAGAAGATTGGATATGGCGACACAACCTTACATGTACTCCAGTTCAAACGTGGACACGAAATGGATCTGAAGCGAGCACTGCAAGGGATAGACAGGAACAAGCTGGCGGTGCTTTGGGTATTTGCTGGCTTGGGAAAGGATGGTGCCGCTGCACAAGGGTTTACGAGGTCACTTCGCCGGGAAGTTTTCATATGGGACATTCACCTAGTACTCCTGCCCCAGGACTGGGATGTGTCCAGCCAGTATTCCATGGTGAAAAATCTTGCAGTATCCGAAGAATCCGAAGCAGAAGTCGTTGTTGCTAATGACGGAAGCATCTCTGTACCCCGAGTATCTGAATCACCTGCTCCTTCGGCTCCGCGTTTCGACACGAACGCTCTGTGGAGTTTGAATAAGAGACTTCAACTCGAGCAGGCACGCTCTTACCATGTCCCTGAAGGATGTTTTCTTATTACTGTTGAATTTACCTCGGCGCTTGACTTTTCGTTGCGAGGTATTGTTGGACGCGTAGCGAAAGGAGAGCGAGAAGGGTCAAAGGTTATGGGCATCGTTCCCTCTCACCCGATATCAAACTATGTAGTACTGCACGAAGGCCGTTTCAACTATATCGATGATGGCACGGTAGCTAGTCCCGAGCTCGCGTTAGGAGCATTCGCGGCGTTCGTCTCTCTGGGTGCATCTACGTTGGCAAGACCATCTAGGCTGAAGGGAAAAACTGTTCTGGTTACCAATGCGTCTAGCTCTGTTGGTCGAGGTTTGCGACATGTACTCACAGTACTGGATATCAAGCATAACTTGGTTGGGGAAATCTCCGAGACCTTGAAGGAATCGCTTATGCCTTATGATATCATCGTGTCGGGAGCCACTAGGAAGGCAGAAATCCAATTGTTAACAAGTATGGCGAGCGGTTCCTCCTTGGTATTCTGGAACAATGCAGGATGTGGCCTGCAGGCAGTGTACGATAGAGAAGTTTGGGCAGTGCAGGACTCCCTTGAGTTAGTTAGGCATATGACAAGACGAGACTATGCTCTTGAGACTGGTGTCTCACCCACCGGGGTGCTTTCATCTGAAGTGGATCTTGACCGTGTGACGGTTTTCTGGCGCTTATTTGATCCTGAAAAAACGTATGTCTTAATCGGTGGGATCGGATCTCTAGGTATGACCATCGCCGTATGGATGTATAGAGTGCGTATCCCCCTTTTATTACCTGTACTGATAGCGTCCTAATTGACTTAAATAAGAATGGTGCACGGCGGATCGTGATGACATCGCGCAACGGCCTAGCGTCCTCTTCATTAGCGAAAAACGATAATGCTGTTCGGATGCTTGACTATCTTCAAAGCCTTTACGATCTAGAATTGCGTCTGGAAAATTGCGACGCCACCTCCCGCAATGACATGAGAAGGCTGCTAGCAAGCATCGACAGCCCATTGGGTGGCTGCATGCTTCTTTCTGCTATCCTTTCTGACAGGACCTTCTTCGCGCATAACGAAGAGACATACGAGGTGCCATTCAAGCCTAAAGCGATGGCCTTTGAGGTACTCGAAGGAGTAATCGATATCGGAAAGTTGGATTTTTTCGTCACGTTCTCTTCCGGTACGTTATTTGGAAATGCCGGTCAAACTAACTATTCGAGGTAAATCAATGTGTTCTAGTTTATTTTAAGGCTATTTTACTTACTGATGGTCATACTTTAGTGCAAATACCCTCACCGACGAATTGACTCGCAAATATCCCAACGCTTTCGCACTTGTAACACCTGTTATCCTGGATAGTACGATTGCGCTCGACTCGACGTTCTCCAAGCTCAAAAATCTTCTGCCCTGGGGTATAACATCTGAAGGTGAGCACCCTAATCCGTTATTTTAAGGCCTGCGATTGATTCCACAGTACGACATTAAGCATTGTGTACGTACATTGGAGACGGGATACGGAAGTTAGCAGATGGCGCTTTCTGGCTTTACATCCCTGACCTCAACTGGAATATCGTATACAGTTCTCTCGGTTCATCTTCGTTATACGATCACTTGGCCGTGAAGCCCGACGAAGCAAAACCGGAACGGTCAGAGAAACCACCACTCCCACTAAAGGAGATAGTTTTGGCGCATCTCGACGTCAAAGCCGATGACTTGTCGCCAAATGTTCCATTAACTTCGTATGGACTCGACTCCCTATCTGCCGCGCGACTGTCCTTCGACCTTCAACCGTTATTGTCTGTCACGCAACTGCAACTGCTCGCCAATGTCAGTTTGAGCGATTTGGAAAGCAGAGCTCGTGATAGTCCACCTCCAGGAAAGACGGCTGCTCACCAAAGTGGAGATGGGTCCGACTTCAATTGGGCGAAACTTAATCAGCCGGGTGAAACTATTGTTAAGCTTCGTGACCTGGACGGGATTCCACTTATTCTACTCCATGGTGCTAGTGGTATCGTAACTGCTTTCAGGCCGCTTCAAGAGCATTTCTCCACGCCATTATGGGCTATACAGACTACCCCAGAGACACCATTTCAGTCAATCTCTGCCATTGCGAGATTTTACTTTGATCAGATAAAGAAGCAACGGCCAGACGGGCCGTATCGAGTTGGAGGCTTCTCAGGAACTAGCCTCATTACGTTCGAGATCGTTCGTCTGCTCGAAGCGAATGGAGATGAAGTCGTCCAGCTCGTATTCCTTGACCATTTCCCTATGCTTTTCTGCTCACCGATATGGACATGGGATGATGAGACCATACGTGAAGGTAGACCAAGCAATCGGCTTGTTGCTCAGCAGGCCTGGGTTATATGTACTGCGATTCGGGGAGATCCAGCCGTTAACAGGCATAGCGTAGCGGATGCACTTATGGATGCTGCGAGCGGAAAAGGAGTCCGTCCCCACATTAGGCACTTCTATGAGACGCTCAAGGTCTTGGTAGATATGGTCATGACGTTTTTGCTTGATCTTTCCGGAGGGGACCTTGACTTGGTACAGGATGCGCTGGTGAAGTGGATAAGCGGAATCAAGGTACCATTTACAGTATACGTAGCTTCCAGCGGGATACGACGAGCACTTCCAGCAGAGGAATGGAATACGTGGTCGGATTTTGGCACGAATGTCATTCCGAGTGCTAAAGTCGTCACAGTCGAGGGCGATCATTATAGTTTCATGGAATCGAAAGCTCTGAGTGATAGTCTTCAGCATGGTTGGCAATGGCCATGAGGACAGAGGGAGTCAGGCTCGAAATTCTCTGTTCTGTTGTTGAACGTACTGGAGCTTTGTAAATATTTGACTGTATTATGTAACCAAATTTTCTCAAATATCGCTTTGCGCAATCAGCAATGCGCGTTTGTTAAACTTTGTTTCGACTTTGCGGCTTTGTTCACTGCGCTATAAATTCTGTGATCTTTCGAAAGCTTCTTTTCTCAGTTGCCACGTGAAGACCCGAGTAGGCGAGAGTGCATTAGGAGACGTGAATCAGTTGAACAGGATGAAATATAGCGGCCTTCGGTGCTCGCCGAGCGATGGGCCGATGGCACTGTAGTGCAGTTGTACTTAGATGGCGTTAAACCTGGTCATGTGGTCAACGTAAGCCTAGTTGTACACATTAAAACTGTGAATATTACCTACTAATGGTTCGACTAATTGCACAGCGGTCCGGTCGGATGCAATCTTATAGTACACTATCGGGAACATTCTTCTATTAACATTACACCGCTGAGCGAATCCTTAAAGACGTGCAAAGGCCGCAAGCGTTCTCTTCAACATTTCCTGTTCTTAGTAATTGTTCAAGCGACTTAAGGCGGGAATAGGAACTATACTGCAGCCTTTGCAACCTGTCCGTTGACTATCTTTCTCCTCGACCCTGATTTATCCGTTGTTAGACCATGCTTAGGCTGCTGCCGCTCGTTGCCTTCATTCTTTGGCTATGTGTCAACCTATCGAAAGGAAGGCTCTATTTCAGCCCTTCTCAGCTCCCACCAGAGAAGTCCTATGACTACATTGTAGTTGGTGGTAGGGTTGCTCTGATATACTACATGCATTCAATATCACTAAACGTCCCTTGCTTTCGATAAAAGGCGGAGCCGGAGGAAGTGTTATTGCAAACCGCCTATCTGAGGAAGCTTTCCTGAAGGTCCTCTTGATTGAAGCAGGTTCAAGGTGTGATTGCATCTGCCTAACAAATACGTACATGCATCCATGATGTTGTACATTAGCGACTTCAAAAACATGAACATTGAAATACCATTTTTCGCGCCAAGGCTAGCAGGTTCTCAGTTTGTAAGTTCTGATTCAAATACACAGGCTTGCAGCTCAACAAGACAAAGGACTGGAATTTCACAACCATCAATCAATCAAGCCTTAACAATCGCCCGATCCCGTATCCGCGAGGGTTTGTGCTGGGAGGATCAACAGCTATCAGTGAACTTATAGTATTTGTCCATAACTAGAGCTTTTCAGCTGAACTTTTTGTTTTAGATATTATGGCTTATACACGCGGTACAATTGACGATTATGATCGATGGGCTAATGTCACAGGAGATGAGGGCTGGTCGTGGAATTCGCTACAGCCTTATGTGCGAAAGGCAAGTCGTCTTTAATCCTTCATTTACGTACCTACTCATTCCGTTACGATTATTGCAGTTGGAAAAACTCGTTCCACCTACCGACCATCATAACACTACAGGTGAAATTGACCCGTGCATTCACGGGCACGAGGGTAAGTATTTTTTCGCATGTTGTGAGTCAATATTAGATAAAAAGCTCTTGCTTGATAGGCCCAGTCCGTATAAGCCTGACTGGCGTACCTGAACCCACTGATGAATGGGTTATTGCTGCGTCTTCACAGCTTTCGGATGAATTTCCGTTTAATTTGGACTATAACTCTGGAAACACGATTGGCATTAGTTTGTTCCCATTATTCCACCACTTTAGCAAACCAAATTGTATTGAATATCGCGTGATATAGGCTGGAAACAGAATACGGTGTGTTATAAGTCGGACGAGCGCTTTTTGCTATAAGAAACTGATAACGTAATACAGATCGCACACGGCGAACGAGTAAGCGCAGCGAAAGCGTATATTGCGCCTGCACTCTCTCGTCCAAACCTCGACGTTTTGGTCAATACACACGTTACAAGGGTCCTACAAATAGGAACAGAATCTGGAGCTCCCGTCTTCAAAGGTGTTCAATTCTCTCAATCATCCGAAGGTGAATTTTGTTTGGTCATCGCGAAGGAAATAACTAAATATGCATCTATTTAGGTGTTGTATACGGACTGAATGCAAGCAGAGAAGTCATTCTTTCCGCCGGGGCTGTGAAGACACCGCACATATGTGAGTGAATTCCTTAGGAAAGGTGTAATCAGGTCTAATAATGCACCCGCATTCGACCAAAGTAATGCTTTCCGGTATTGGGAACGCTGAGCATCTCTCGTCGTTTTCCATTAAACCAATTGTTGACATACCAGATGTTGGAAATAATCTTCAAGTATGTAAATTTACGATGATATTTCAGAAGAAAGCATGTTCATTAACTTTACATGATTTATAGGATCACCCTGTCGTTACTGCTTCTTTCTCTGTCAATTCTACAAATACACTCGACAACTTGACAGAGAATGCAACATTTCTTGCACAAGAAGAGGCTCTTTGGTTAAAAAATAGATCCGGTTTACTGGGCTGGGTGTCTACGAATCAATTCGGATGGTTTAGGATACCCGTAAATTCCTCGATATTCGATAGTGCTACCGATCCAAGTGCAGGGCCAACATCGGCTCATTTCGAGTTTATTTTCACTGTAAGGGGCGGTATGGTTGCTCCAGTCATTTTGCGTACTAACGGGAACTTGCATACCTCCTGTAAGAACGGATTCACGTCATTCTCCGAACCATTTCCTGCTTCTGGAGGTCATTTTTTCACGGTATTAGTTGCTGTGGTTTCTCCAACGTCTCGTACGTACATGGGCTATACTTGCTAAAACGGTATTTTTCGTTTGCTAATAATCACCTTTTAGGTGGAAATATAACCCTGGCGTCCTCAAACCCCTTCGATTCTCCCGTCATTGACCCTAACCTTTTGGGAACTGCATTCGATATCTTCACTGTGCGTGAAGCTATCAAGTCTGCGCGCAAATTCGTTTCCGCTCCTGCATGGCAGGGTTGGATTCTTGAAGAGTACGGCGCATTCTCGGAGGCGCATACGGACGAGCAGATTGAAGAGTTTGCAAGGCAGACAGCAAACACAATCGATCATGTCTCTTGCACAGTAGCCATGGGAAAGACTGGAAGCAGCGGGAGTGGAACCGGTGCACTTAATTCAGACCTTACAGTGAAAGGAACAGTTGGGTTGAGAGTCGTTGATGCCTCTGCGTTCGTGAGTGATACGCGTCTTGTATCGTGATGTGAGAATCTTATGATGTATCCCAGCCGTTCATTATCTCCGGCCACACACAAGCAGCGGTTTATATACTAGCAGAACGCGCTGCAGATTTGATCAAACTCTCTCTTCGAGGCGAGTGCAGTGCGTTGACCTTCCCTTCCCTATTAGCGCTAAGCATAAATTTCTTACCGCAAATATTTTTAGGTGGCGACGACAATGCTCCAGTTAAATTTTGACTGAAAACTAAATAAGTGATACTGACACGATGGCTGGCGTTGATTTCCGAGTTTGATGGATTCTAATATAGGTGGCGGGCTCATACCAGCTTTCGTAGCAAAGTTCATTAGTTCCTAAGGATATCGATGACAGATGTACCAGAAATGCAAGAAACGTGAGCGTATGGGAAACTTAATAGAAAAGAGTTCGATTCCGAAGTCGTGCTGGTGTAGTATTTGTGAAATATCAGAGACATATTTCCACCTCTGACTTGACAATGACATCATATGGACTTGCCGATCGATGATTGCTGATCCGCGTTGATAAACATGACGGTTATGTAAGCATTGTGCGAGTTCGTCTAACTCCAACCCATGTTTTCCGCCTCGTCCTCGTTATCCATTATCAGGCGGTTTGACCACTGGCCCTCTCGTCTCCTGTCCTCCCCTAACCCACTGCAAAAACGGTAAACGAAAAGATGTTGCATGTTACAGAAGTCCGTCTTGCATTCTACTCCCTATTCAGGTGACAAACGTTTACACAGGTCACCCCGGTTAGCCTCAGCTACCTCATCCTTGGTGGCTTCGTGGTCCTGGTGAGCGGGACTTGATCACATCATGTTCATCCCGGAATTTACTTTGTTCACAGTTCAGTATGATGTCTTTGCCGCTCAAAGAAAGGGTATGTTCTTACTGGAAAATGCTCAAATGTATCGAAAATGCCTGATTACTTTTTGGGGGGAAAACAGTTGTACATTGGTGAAGTCGTGCTCGGAACTGGCTTTGGGGTCATTATTGGCCCTTACTGCGCGAATATATTTGATCCTCGATCATGGGGCTCGACGCTGGAGGCACAGAATCGAATTACCCTTGAAGTTATGCGTGTCGTGCTTGCTACTGGTCTGTTCGCCATCGGAGTCGAACTACCAAAGGCATATCTCGCGGAACATGTCCGAAGTCTCCTAGTAATGGTAAATACTAGACATGTTTATAGCCACTTATCTGTATTAACGAACGGTTCCGGATTGACCATTACGTAGGTTGTGCCAACGATGGCATTTGGCTGGCTCGTCGTCGCAGGTTAGTGCTTCTCAGTCCCTCTTGCGGTAACCTGATATTGTGAACTTATCTATATATTAGGAGTTATCCGTGTACTATTTCCCGCATTGACTTATGTCTCTGCGCTAGCAATTGCCGCATGCCTTACTCCAACAGACCCTGTACTCGCTGCCGCAATAATCGGTGGGAAGTTCGCTGTTAGAAATGTCCCAGTTCATACTCGGCGCTTACTCAGGTACAAGCCTGATTCCTCTAACTTGCATTGATCGACTAACTGACGACACTCTTTAGTGCGGAATCTGCAGCCAATGACGGACTTGCATACCCATTTCTTTCGATTTCCATATACCTTGCCATCGAATCAAGCAAGAGGGTAGCATTTGGAAAATGGTTCCTTGTTGGCTGGCTCTGTAAATACATTTCAACTTCATAGGCGCTGTTGTAATGGCGAATTTATTTGCGCGTCCCCAGATCAGGTTATACTTGGAACAGTCCTTGGGGCCATCCTCGGTAAGTATCTAAAATGGTCGCGAAATATATAGCTATGTACAATCTGATCTATGATAGGATTGGCCTTTTCCTACTTTATGAAAACAGCACATAACAAGGGCCTAATCGATCGAGAGTCTTTCGTTGCACAATACCTCGCGCTCGCGATATTTACCATTGGGGTAGCGAATACCATAGGTTCCGATGATCTGTTGGCCGCATTTGCTGCAGGCGAGTAGTTCTACTCCTGCGCAATTTCTTGTGGAAACTTATAAAGTAATTTATAACCAGGTAGCGCTGTTTCTTGGGATGGTCATTTCAACGACAGAACAGAGGACGAGGTTTTTTCATCTGTGATTGACCTTGTGCTGAATTGTGCATGTTTCATCTATATCGGTGCATGGCTTCCCTTCAATGCATATAATGCAACGGAACTCGGAATCACACCCTGGAAACTCGTCGTTCTTTTCATAGCTATCCTTGCACTTCGGCGCATCCCAAGTATATTATTACTATACAAATTCGTTCCGGACATACATAATTGGAGGGAAGCGCTGTTCTGTGGTCACTTTGGTGAGAGTTAGGTACAATGTGCAAAGAAGTATGCGTTCTGATTGACACCGCTCACTTAGGACCTATGGGTGTCGGAGCGGTCTTCATCTCCACTTTGGCTATCACAGAGTTGCCGGAACCCAGTAACCCACCTTCAACGCAGAATGAATTGCTTGCTGCTATGCTACACCCCGTTGTCTCATTCGTCGTTTTAGGTTCCATCATCGTTCGTGCGTTTTCGTGCATTTTGGCTTCTTTCTCGTAGCAATGCTGACGCTCGACCTGATTAAGATGGCCTGTCTATCCCTGCATTCTGGTTTGGAAGTAGATCAGTTCGTCACACAGTTTCCCTTACCAGAAGCTTGTCTCGCACATGGACATCACGAACAGACGCTCAGCCGGACTGGCTAATTTCCGCACACCGCACCAACGATGCTGTTATCGCTTCGCGTAGCGTTGAAGATATTGAACGTACGGGCGCTCTGAAAGGCGGGAAAGACATGGTTGGCGTTGGCCAGATCAGAGATAATTTGGCGAGCGGAAGCAGCAGCCCACGTCAGGAGTTGTCGCGTACGACAAGTGCGAGTTCGAGGACAAAATGGAGCCCTGCAATCACTGAAGCCCAACGCCAGAGAAAGGAGCCGGAAGAAGGGCACGTTGGTTTTCCAGATGGAGTTACAGAAGAAGCTGCTGGCCATGGATATGCGGCTCTTCATAGTGCGAGCGAAAATCGTGCTGTTGGCGACGAAAGAAACTTAGGAGGTGAAGGTAGGGCGGAGGCTGAGGCTGCGGCAGAGGCGCCTCGGACTGTGCACTTCAAACCATCCGTTGAAATAGGAGACTCTCATGACGAAAACGCGGGTCAAAGCTCGGGGCAGACTCCCGCCATGAAACAGGTCCAGTTTGCGCAATAACACTGGCTGGTACCCTCTTCCTGGTCCGAAGCATGAATCTTTTTAGAATTTCTCACATCCTTCCTTGGCAAAGATGCAAGTTGTCGCAATTTACTCGCGTTAGACATGTATACATAAATTGGTAGATGCTTACTATTTTAGAGATAAGGCAAGCTACGGTTCACCCGTACCAAGCAGAATGAAGATCCGGTCTTTGTTAATTGTCTGCATCACGCGATTATGTGTCTATCTTTGTAAAGATCGACCTCCCAAGGCTAATCCATACTAAGCGATTCTCGACTCTGCTCTATTAAATCATGTGGGAGTAGGAGGAATAAGGACAAAATGAAGGGAAAGTACAGAGTGCCGATAGACTAAAGCCCTCTGGCACAAACCCAGTGGGAGAAAATACCGTCAAGGACATAATGTACCTGGGCGTAGCGTAGTCTTTTTTGTACGTTTCCGTTACCAATACTCAATCCCTAGAGTGAGTAATTCCTGCAGATTGAGATTAAATAGCTTATTGGATACAAATCTCTTGTGGAAGACGTACAACTCCATCATCGCACCTGCCTAGGAGAGATACATGGAGACACAGGCAACATAAAATTCCGGGAACATGCATATAGGCAGTGGTAATTGTAAGTGCATAGGAAAAAGTGGTGTCGGTGGCATTAAGAAGAGTACACCACCTTTCATTTTCACCATTCGAAATCCGAGAAGTACACATTTCAAGTATGGTGTCGAAGAGAAATACTTATCCAGGTAACGGGCTGTCAATGCACATGTACATATTAATATTAATATTAATGACTCATAGTCTGTAACACAGTGAGTATTCTCTATTGATTTTCCTTCCCATTGACTCCTCTGCTTCGCTGAGCTGGAAAGGCTCGCTAGAATCATGCAGGCGTTCCCAGATCAGTGCCACTCCTTGTATTGTGGTGGGACAACCATTTAATCTGAATAAGATGCGTCGCCGCGGTGCTGGTGTCTTATGCATCACAATTTGCAGTGGCAACTTTCCCATGCGAACAAAATATAAAATTAAATTGCGGTTGTCTCGAGATTTCGCCGCATTCTCGCGTGAACTTTGCGATGGACTAGTCCTGTATACAGTCCGTAACCCAATCTGGAGATTAACTCGCGAATTCTTCAAGAGATCCGTGGAGACCGTATAAAGTTCCCACTGCAAATTTCACTAGCCTAGTACTTTTCTGATAGTACCTATGTACAAGAATATCATCTTAGAGATAGGCACACATTAATAATTATCATATGTGCCGGGCGCAGGGCAGACACTCTGAACCAAAGGAGCGCTAGCATGTAGCTGCTCGATAATCCGAGTTTAACGCTTCTGAATATTATTAGCTTCTACAAAGCCAACTATTTTGTCTTCCATCCAAAGATATATATTACGAATTGAGCGTACAGATTACCAAAAATTTCCTTAAGCATTATCTCCATTTGACAAAGTACAAAATGGGCATCTTGGAGCATCGTTTGCCTCCATAATTAGCCTTAAATAATTGCTCTGAGAATCTAGACTTCGTGTGGCAAAAAACTAGTTTTCTTCACACTAAGTGAAGCCTGTGGAAACGTGTCATAAGGCTGCAAACTGGTTCGAACTCTTCGTAAATCTCACCTGAGAATCAAGCTGAATGTTGTCTGTCCATGTCTCTTCTTGAACGTGGATTCCATCGAGTAAATTCCCACCTGGCCTCCTGCTTGGGTCACCAAGCGACAGAGTCGTCGCCTGACCAATTCCACCCTTTCTCCTGAAGGATATAGAACTGGTATGAGACGCCGTCTGATCGTTACGCCCATTCGCTATGCGGAGTCGGCTATTAAAAACTACAAGGAGAGAATTGGAGTAAAACTTCGCCAAAACGAGAGCGACACATCCATGGAACGCCTTATGGGGTAAATCAAGGAAGAGCACTAAATCAATAATAGCTGTAGTTGCTACAATCGTAGCTGTTAGCTTAGTATTCGGATCCCAGGCAAGTGCATACCTGTTAGAGAACCAGTCTCAACAACAAGTCGAATCAGCTTAGTTAGCGATGCATGGGTAGCTACCATCCCTGTGTCTTTGCGTGCAAGCTGTTTTCAGATCGTATCAGTAGCGCGACGGAATATTCTAGGTAATCTTACCAGAAACGTCATGCTAACCGCGATCAGAACGTCGCATAGAGCGCTCCCAGAGAGCCAGATCTGAACGCGAAGTATGTCAGCACGAAGGACAGGCAATTGAACGAAACAAATTACGGATGTCGCGACGAATGCCTCGGATGCTAACGCTGCAATTTCACCAGCTTGTAAGGCTTGGACTCCCGTAACGATCGAAGCAATTGCTTGTGTTAACGCAATCTAAAGCGATTCAATAACAGGTCCAAGGTTACATTATTAGAAACGGCTTACCGCGGAAATGACACCACATAGAATTTTTGAACGTGATAAAACATAAATTCTATACGTGTAGCAGAGCTGTACAGTGAAGCTCGCTACGAAGACAGTTACAGAAGCAATTGTTTGGTCGGAGAGGTCCACTCACCGAGTCCGGTCAGAATCGGAGTAGCGAGCCATTCCATTTGTATGGAACCTAGTGCCGTCAAGTCTCCGAAACCCTTCGCGTAGCCATTAAATGCGTCATGAGCAACTAGGATCGATTGGAGAGTATCCATAATGTAAAGTCCATAGACCACGCATTTGAACCATAGTTTGTCGTTTGGAAATGCTAAGTAGTAGACATCTTTCGCCAAGTTGTAAATTCAGTCTGGACCTGTTCGTGAAGCAGGGATACGCACAGACTTGCATGGTTAAGATCCCATATAAGCCCCAGTTAAAGAGATATCCTAGAAGCTATGTAAAGATCATTTAGCGTAAGCGAGTTCTCCCTGTAACTTTCATACTCACCACAGGAGCCGCTCTAATACCGAAAATTAGCGAATACGCTATGACACAATAGCGGAACGCTCACATAGACGCAATATCTGGGGGGATTCCAGGAGCTGACATCGTGGTATGGTATGAGCGCCTCGCGGACAGGGAAATATTAAGTCAAGGTGCACAGAGATTCCTGGCACGTTAGATCTCACCTAAAAGAATTGCGAATTGTATAAGTACGGGAGCCGTACCCATGTGGAAGCAAAAAGGGATCAGTACCTGACTGTGCTTTTCTTAGCAATTGATGCGCGGAGACAGGTGGTCCTGATAAGCGTTGCAAATGAAGCATTGTTATTTGATCGTTGGGTTGGCAAGAACGACATAAAATGGCGGGACATTCCGAATGGAGTGGTCCTGAAGCCCGGCATTACCGAAGCGGGACGCAGAGGAAACGTTTGATATCCATCTGTGTCAGAACCAAAGACAGAGTTGTTCATTCTCCATTCCCACAGACGCGTGAAAATGAAAGACAACTCACGTCGAACAAAGTGCAGAAGACTTGAGTATTTGCATTGCACGTTTTGGCGAACAGCGTCCTGGTACACTGCCTAACTACCTGGGCATAGCGCAACTGTCAGCAGGCCAACTTCCTACAGAAACGATTCTCTGTCATATGCATGCGAGAAGCGAATCTTCATTAGTATGTCGATTAACCTTATTCCACGCACTACCACATTGCCCAAATGAATAAAGAAGACTCACTGATAGACAGCTTCTGATTGACAGCGACGATATTCCCACCTGAGATAGGTTCCACTCTTCCCACGTCGTTCCATACTGAGAATGCGAGTCTACGCAAAGCCAGGATGAATGTTGAACGTGATGCATGACGCGGATGGAGCGTGTATTATGTAATCTGCTTCACCCACTGTCTCGAGTGAGTTGACTCACAGACTCTCAGTTCATATGCCTACATCATAGTACGTGTGCATCTAAGCCTTACGTAGTATGACTGCCTCGGACGCAGTGATCAATAGTAGCCGATAACACTACTCTTCGATGTGTTACAGACGGGAAGTTGTAATTCGGGGCCCAGGGTGCTTTCACAGGAGTAAGCACTGCATCCTTCTTCTGGTTGTGTGGCAACAATCGCTCGTCTTCTGGGCATCATGATGGTGGCTGCACAATCAGAGAAGACGCGCATGCATATGCTCTTAGTTGTACAAAAGCACACATCCTGGACGGAGTTTCGTGGAACAGGTTGAACTCCAGCTACTTCGCCATGCCCTTCGTCACTCTCGCCGAGGCGAAATCAGTGAAGCTCGACTACATAATAGTTGGAGGTGGAACATCGGGTTTAACACTCGCTGCGCGGTAGGCTTTTATCTCAATGAGACCCATCATTTTATAATATGGACATTGCATATAGACTTACGGAAATTCCGAGTATCTCCGTGCTTGTCATTGAAGCGGGAAGTTACCATGAACCTGCACCAGAAATCGACATCCCAGGTATGCCCTACATATTTCTTGCAGACATTAAAATCACTCATAACGATACTCTTGCTGTCAGGAATGGTGGGTCGGACAATCGCGAATCCCAAATACGATTGGACCTTCCTTTCTGTCCCTCAGAAGCATGCGAACAACCGGGTGATTCTGCACCCTCGCGGCAAAGGTCTTGGTGGATCCTCATTGGCGAGTTTTCGTCCCTACTTTCAAACTATGCCATTCGCTTACGGAGAATGAAAATCATTAGATTCATTTCAATTCCAGTTGTAGACCATCGAAGGCAGAATTCGATGCTGTGGAAGGTTTAGGGAATGAAGGATGGGGTTGGGCAAGTATGCTAAACTACATGAAGAAGGTACGTGATGAGATTTTTTATTCTAAAAGCACAATAATCAATCCTCTACTCGTTAGAGCGAGACTACTGTACCCCCTACAGGACTTACAGATGAGCAAGCTAAGGTTTATGCTGTTGCTCCAGTTCCTAACGCGCATGGATCTGAAGGTGCGTAAGAACAAATATCGCCTTTTTTTGTTGCTAATGATTTCATTTAAGGACCCGTGTTCAAATCAATGCGAACTTTATGGACTAATGCTCACGCGAAGTTTTTTGACGCTGCCGAGTCGCTTGGTATACCGCGTAACCCTGAAAGTGTAATGCCTTTCACCAGCGTTTTCAATGCAACTGGTACTAACGTCTTTTCTTTATCTACAGGGAAACGGCGTTAATGTCGGCTGCCTGTCTCCATTTTCTTCTGTTGATCCTCGAACAGCCACTCGCTCATCTGCAGTTACGGCTTACCTGAACCCGAACATTGGACGCAATAACCTATATGTGCTCACAGATACTCAAGTCGTGAAGGTAACTTCGTCAATGTCAGTCTGCACGATGCGCGCCAAATGATGATACTGTATAGATTATCCTCGCGGAAGATGATCAATCGCTTCAAAAGGCAGCAGGAGTTGATGTCATGCAAGGCGGCGTTTTGTCGCGGATTGATGGAGTGCACCGAGATATAATCATTTCAGCTGGTGATCTTTCCGTCTATTCTGTTCCTCCACATCTTCGTCTAACGTAATTCAAAGGATCTATTCAAACTCCTCACATCCTTGAGCTTTCCGGAATCGGAAACCCCGAGATTTTGCGTCGGAACAACATCCGCGATATTATTGATTTACCTGGAGTTGGCGAAAACTTGCGTATGATCGTTTTACTAACGTATTTGACTCACGACTAACATAACGTTTCCGCCTTACTGAAGAGGACCACATATCCGTATTTTCGGTTGCGGAAATCGACAGTTCTGAAGACACATTCGACGTAGTGTTTGATCCTGTGGAACTAAAGAAACATGAGACGTTGTAGTGCGTATTTCGCCAGCTACATACGATATTGCGCTCATTTCCCGTAGTAAGGAGCAGCGCGGCCACTTATCATACGGCCCAGCAGCAGCGTTTTTATTTGCCTCCGCAAAACAGCTCGGAGCCTCGGATACCATTAATTCATGGGAAGACCATGCCCGTGCAAAGTATACGGACAGCCTTGCGAAAGCTGTTCCGTCGTTGAGAACCGGATTGGAGAAACAGTACAAGTTTCAAGAGAAGTTTATCTCTGATAGTAACCAGGCGCAGGCCGAGTAAGTAGTGCGTGTACCATGTTTTAATCGCTAGACTTAACGTGTGTCTTCGAAGGATTCTGCAATTCATCGCGCATCCCATGGTGCCGAACTCTGTCGCCGTTCCGGGAAAGCGATACACGGCGCTGCTGTCCGTTTTGATGCATCCGCTTTCGCGTGGATCGGTCCACGTCACTTCATCGGACCCTTTGACGCCACCTGCTATTGATCCAAACTATCTATCTAATGAAGCCGATCTCGATATGCTAACCCACATAGTGAAATACGTACAGGGATTGTTTAAAACAAAACCGCTCAGTGACCTCGTCAAATCTCAGATTTTACCTCCACGTGACGTACTGGAGGATGACACGAAGCTGCGCGAGTATATCAAGGATCAGTGCACAACGGTTTTCCATCCTCTTGGAACTTCCTCGATGCTCCCTCGGGAGGATGGCGGCGTTGTTGACAAGAACCTGAGGGTATACGGAACTGGTAACCTTCGTGTCGTGAGTAACAGTAGTTTATAGACGTTTGTTGTGCCTAAATGCCTTTGTCAGGTTGACCTCTCTGTCATTCCCCTGGTAGGTGTGGCTTGCGACATAAAACGAGTTTGCTAATTAATCACTTTTGTAGGAACTATCATGCCATACCCAGTCCGTAGCATATGCTATAGGAGAGAAGGTTAGTACTCCGTGTTTTATTGCATCCATTAACTGATAATCTCCTACAAAACAGGCAGCGGACATGATTAAATCGGAAAGTCATGGAGTATAGGTGTCCACGCCATTTCATCAAGAAGTTTATAGCAGGAAATATTTGTATATTTATAGAATTGACAGACTTGCCCTTGAATTATGTGTACCAAAAAAATATGATTGATACAGGAAATGCTGTATTATTCTGCATTAGCAGTCTTTATTGTGTTTGTTTTCACACTGCTCAAACGTCAAAACTAGTGTCAGGTTCATTGAATAGTTGGTCTTCGTTGTATCTTATTTACAAAAGTTTACTGAATAAATTAAATTTTGCGTGTACTTAACATATTTATCCTATATGTATTTCATACGTCTATTTCACACCTACATGCTATTTTATCAAGTAACATAAAAGATACATACAACCTTTCTGTTTAATTATTTAATAACATTTTCAATTGGTAGACAACTCAGATTTGATTATATCTACTGCCTGTTAGTAGTAGTCAATAAGCAACTAATGACCTACTAGCAAACAAGAGTACTGGCCCTTTCTCCCATAGCATATGCCACGGACTGAGTATGTATGCTTTGTAGGAAGGAGGTGATTTGAATACGACTCACTATAAATTTATCTGTACCTGCCCTAGTTATCTGACACATATCATGATCAGATGATAGAGAACAATCACAAGCAACTATTCTTAATCCATTTCATATTTAGTTCTCGGAGTGCAGTTAGCACCAAATTCTCAACTATAATTCAAGGACAGTAGGGATCTGACTTGTATGCATTAATGGTCATTTTTGGTTTCTACACTGTATCCGAATGCTTCCAATATATCCATTTCGAGCTGCCACTGGAATGAACCAATATCTGTAAATACAACATTGAGTACAGTTTGACCTGCAGGCTCAGGAGGGGAGTGGTGGGACACTGCTTCTGTTTGAAATGGTGTCATGCACAGCACTAGGGAATGTAAATGCACACAGTGTGAGCCCATCAAGGGTAATCTCAAGTATATAATGGGTGGGGAAGGAAAGTGTGCATGAGGTCAGAGAGAGGGTTGCACCTTGAGAATGGTGGTACATGGACATTGTCGCGAGCGTGTGCTTGTCAAGTGGTGCTTGCACTGCAGAGTGGGAGAAGTATACAAATGCATGGAATTATTGAAAAAGTCGTTCGGCATTTGTCAGCAATGCAGATGCGCGGATGCAAATGCAAAAAAGAAGGCAAGCGTAATAAAAAGGAGGACAAAAAAGGAGAGGCAACGCAAGAGGCAGGGCAAGGAGCAGGAGGGATGAAAGGGAGACAAGAAGTTGGGAGGAGAGGGATGAGCAACTATTGTGTGAGCGAGTTATTATGAAGTGGACTGGCTGCTTACACTTTACACTGAAGGACAGTGTAGCCAGCTAGGCCGTGTCGTCACAGGATCTGAGGCTCAGTACAGGCATTGTATTGAGAGGGGTTATGTGAGAGGCTTAGAGGGATCACACAAAGAGGGGGGATAGTGGACTCAGCTTGCTCTCCTCAGTGTCATTGTCCGTTGATTCAGTAGGTATATATAATATGTAGCTATGTCTTGGGTACGTCTGTTGCTTATATGCGTCATTCCATATATGTTAACACTCCCCTTCAAACATATATTAGTTTAATAATATGTTTGTTTTGTGACTATTCGTTTATTTGATTTGTAGTTATTTTTATTTTTATTTTTAGGGGTAGTTATAGTGCTGCTACCACTCCCCTTCAAACATTTGTAAGTTGGCCAGACCTATAAGATGTTTGATTTGCAGATCGTTCCAACATTTTTATTAGTATTGTATCTGCATCATACGTTGTGTCTGTATTATATTTGCTTGTGTATCACATGTAATAATATCATTTGTATAATATAAATGCATTGTTCGTATTGTATATTTTGGTCTACTGTGTGTTAACTTTGTACTTTGTTAGATATTTATTAAGTTTTCGTTCACTATTGTGTCATTAGTTCTGTAGTTCGTTCATTGTTATATTATTAAGTCATTGTTTGTTGTCATGTAGACTGTTTGACATGATTGAAATTGTTCAGAGTTAATCCAAAGTTTGTGTGTAGTTTACTGTTCAATGACAGTATTGTTTTCACAATAAATTGTTTGAAATCGTTATTAATATCATATGTGCTTCAGAGACCTGCAGAATCTCATGAGCACTGTGTAAGATTGTAAATCATGTATTTTATTTATTAAATTTGCTCAAGTATTACTAGTAATTTCTTTTTACTTTGCTGTGAAACTAATGAATCACACTAGTAAAATGTATATCTGGTGTTGCAATAATATCCTTCTTTAATAATTGCTGTCCACATTCGTCTACATTTGTATATACGTTAAGCATTCAGTAATAGCTGGTTTGTGTCTTCAGATTGAAGCTTCACATTGATCATATGTTGTAATATTAATAATGTTGTTTGTTTTTGCCAGATCACTTCATTCCAAGATCAATGAGGTTTTATGCTAACATATATTTGTTGTATAGATGTTATATCTGGCTGCAGGCAGCTTGCTATGTGTCTAGGTGCATTGTATATGTATTATATCATGAATGTATTGTCTGTATTGCTTTGTGTTATTGTTTATGTTTATGTAGTAACTTATTAATATTGTGTTGTATAATGAATCGATTTTAACACATCCTGAGTAACTATACAATCTGTTGTGTTATTTCTTCAATAGCCAACATAATTATTTGTCATAAATTGTTACTAACGTATGTTTGTATTATTTATTATTAACAGTGTTATTGTGAATTGTTGTGATTGTGATGTCATGAATATTTATTAGTATTATGGCTATTGTTCTTTGCTTTTTCTTTTGCAAAGAATAGTGTATTGTAACACAATCCACATATAAGTGATATATTGGATTATGTTTACTATAATAGTCTCCTAGCATACTTTAGTTAATCTAGTAGTATGCACAATTGTAGTATTTGTTCAACGTTTTATTTGTTAATTGATTTGCTAGGTAAAGCATTTTATATATTGGTTTTATTTATTTTATTTGAATCATTGTATAGATATACTTATTAGTATCTATCCAATATATTTCATAATGTTATAATGCTGTTCACACTTGTATTAATTACATAGTGAGGGCAAATTAATTGTTTGTACAAGAATCAATTTAATAGTTTTATTTGATTATATGTATGTACTCCATACTTGTTTGTATAGTTATTATCTTTGTATCGTTCGATTGTAGTTGCAAATTATATTGCAATTATATTTGTATTATTGTATGGATGTATTATTTATTGTTTTATGTATGTTCCGAAGTATTATTTTTGTTATTCATCACTTTTATCCATGAACTATAGTCTGGATTGATGAATTATTTTGTTATATGATGTGATAATTGTCTGTATTTTATTTATTTTCGTATTAAACGTTGTTAAGTTAATTGGATTATTATATTAATATTATTTGCCAAGTATAAGCATTCGTTTCGTAGTGGAATTATTATTTATTTAATGTTGAAGTTCAATTGTGTGTTGTGTTGACTTCTGTTATTTGTTCTGATCAATGTTATTTTGTATTGCATCAAATGATTTACCTTTGTGATCCATTATATCTGTCTGTAACTTCTATTACTTATTGTTTTTTAGGATCAGCAATAAGATCAACATTTCCACATCATGAATATTCATTTGTTCATCTACAGTTTTGCATTGTGAACGTTTGTACATTTGCTACAAAGAATGCTTTAGGAGTATGTGCCATTTCTAAGCTTTATTATTATTAATTTATTAATTATCTGTTTGAATAACTTTTATAAGCATTGAAAATGTTATGTAATGTATAACTTTTATATTCTTTAATAAGGTATTTTGTGTTTGACGGATTCATCGGATTCATTATGGATTTCACTTAGTGACATAGTCAATATGTCTGCATTAAGAATTCAATGTTCATCATTAGTGTGTATATTATTCAATTACTCCCCTTCAATTTGAGAAGGTTATTCTTTGAGTAATTGACAAGTAGTGTAAGTACATAAGTACATTGTTGATTTCCTTTCATGTATTTGTAATCCAACAAGTAGTGTTAGTACTTCGTTATTTTACTTTTGTATGTTCATCAGTATGTGTTATAATATAACAGTATGTTTTAAGTTAACTTATGATGTTTGACATACATCATTTTGTTTAAACATTACACTGTAACATTGTGCCATTTGTTTTATAAATTTTAATGTGATGTTTGTAATATGTCTGTAATATTTCAGACATGCTAAGAAATCTCTCTGTGTGTTTGCAGTTACAACATTGGTTACACATCTATTCATATCTCTGATAAGATGTAATAGATATGCTTGTGTCTGCTTTTCTTTATATATTATACTGTCTGAGATAATGTGTTAAACGTTTTATTAATTTATTTAATCTTATTATATTATAATTGTTTTCGTTTATAATCATTATAATAAGTGTGTCTGTTGTAGTTTTTCTGTTGTTTGTTGTACTAGCTGTATCAGCATAGTACTTCACTTGTATATAAACTTTGTAGCTTTAATATAAGTTTATTTATGCTTTGTTAAAGTATATCTACATTCTGTGCAATTAAATATGTTCTGTTACATTGTTGTAGTAATAGTAGAGGTATTATTCTACTGTTTGCTGTTATTATACATTGTTATTATATGTTTACACTATCATAGGTGTAAAGTATCATTATTTGTTTATTGACTATAATTGTGTACTCGTTCCTGTACCATAGTTACTGTAATGTACTTTGTAACTTTATTATTATTATTATTAATTAATTTGTCTGTAGATAGTTATATGCTTTCATAAGCTGTATTAGTACATAGATATTGGATGTCTTAGATATTGGATGTATATCTGCTAACTTCTTTATCTCATATCTGACATGTCTGACATATCTGAGACATGTACCCGAGACATGTCTTACATTAATTGTTTGGCTGTGATATTGTCATATATGTTATTATTTGATTTATGTTATAACATATGTGCATTTGTTGACAGTGTCTATCATTTGTACTATTATAATATTAATAGTGGATGAGTAGTGTTTGCTTTCTCAATCCTTCTAATGTTTGTCCATAGTATGATCAGTTATTTATAATAACATGATCTCTGTAATATTATAGAATATTTTAGTGATTAAATGTTGCAGTAAGTGATACTCATTGTAGTTTCAG